ACCTGCTTCTAAGGTGACTCCGTGCTTTGGTATCCGTCATTCTTGCTTCCAAAAGTTCCCTTCTTCCTCCTTTCCGTCTGCCCCATTCCTCCCCGGCGTCAGTGCCCCGAGCAGCCTTCTGGGACTACCTCCTGGTGACCTAGGGTTGCTACCTGGGTCGGAGCCGCCGCCTGTGGTCATGGAAAAGGAGCAAGACAGCCCTCGCCGCCGGTGACCCATGCTGGCAGGGGGCCTCACTCAATGGAATCGGTCTCTCACACCCACAGCGCCTTGTGCGGAGATACGCACGTATAGGATTATGTGACAAAGAAAATTGAGGGAATGATTAATGCAAATTTACAATCATGAGTTTTTCTGGGGAGGAAAGAATACATATGTGGGGAGGGTCATGTGAGGGTTTTCAAAGGTCCTGGTTTTGCACTTCTTTAATACAATTTTTTAAAGATTTTATTTATTTATTTTTAGAGAGGGAAGGGAGTGGGGGAGAGAGAGAGAGAGAGAAACATCAATGTGCGGTTGCTGGGGGCCGTGGCCTGCAACCCAGGCATGTGCCCTGACTGGGAATCGAACCTGCGACACTTTGGTTCGCAGCCCGCGCTCAATCCACTGAGCTATGCCAGCCAGGGCAGTTTTGTACTTCTTAAGTTCTAGGTTGTGGCACGGGTGATTTTTCATTCGTCTTCAGACTGTGCATAGATTGTACATAAACTCTGGGTGTCCGATCTTTTCCTAAGGAGAAGAGGGCGGTCAGGTGGGAAGGCTGCCTCAAACTGGGAAGTTGGCAGCTGCCGCAGCAACAAGCCTCCTATGGTGTGGACGCAAGGTGGGGCCCGGGAAGCCCAGCTCCTGGAGGATCCATTCCTGTCCCCTGAGAGGCAGTGGCTGGGAACCCGGGTGCCAGCCGAGAGTCGAGGACTCCTGAGAAGGAGGGCCCTCCTTTGAAAGCTGTCGCTCTGCCCTGCCTGTCTCTTCCCCTGGGTGAAGACCCGCCCTCTGGCATTGCCTTGAAATGACTGCCCGAGACTCACCTACCCCAGGTCACGCCCGGCAACTGGAGGCGAGGCCGCCTTATCACCAGGCTGGCAGGTATGGGACAGCGTGTACAGCCCACCCAGGCTGCTTTGGAAAATGGGATTAACTGCACTGGGAGTGGCGTGGCCTTTGTCCCTGGGGAGATATATGACATTTGGTGAAAATGTAACCTCCTATCAACCAGCACGAACTCATCCCCGGGGGACCGCCTTTGACCTCCAAACAACACAGACAAGCTTTTATATCTTTCCAGTATCACCGAGGGAGAAGATAAGGTGGACTCAGGAGGAAGGCAAGGCTAGAAAGCAGAATGGAATATTTAAGAGCTCCAGTTCTGAGAGCGACCACAGGGGCGTGGGTTCAGATCCCAGCCCCACCCTGAGCTAGCCGGGTGACTCTGAGCAAGCCACTTAACGCCTCCGACCCTGCTTTCCTTGTCTGTTAATGCGCAGTCTCCACATCGCTGGGTTGTTGCATTAATGAAGGTAATAATAATAAAAACAGAATTTAGCACAGCTGGGTTCATAGCCCGTTCTCAGCAGACACGCACCTGGGATGCCACAGAGCACGGCTGGGATTGGTTTGCCTGGCGTGGAGAAGCACTCCGCCTTAAGGAGAATGACCAGGAGGAAAGGGGGTGCTTCCAAAGTGGCGGGTCTGCCCACCCAGCTTCTAGTGGAAACGGCATCAATCCGCAGTGAAAAGGAGCGATAACGAAATGAGGTCGCACTGAACGCAAACAGTTAGCGACAGCCTCGGCAGCCCACAAGAGAGGGGGGCCGCCCCACCGGCCAGCCCCCCACCCTCCAGCCGCCCCCTGCGGGGCTGGCCTTCAGGGGGCGCTGCCCCTCGGGCCTGGGTGCGGCCTCTTCTCATTCTGTCTTCTTATCGGGCGCCTGCATCCTTCCCCATCGTCCTCCTGTTCTCTTAGTGTCTTTCTGCTTCTCCCAAACACACTGTTCTTTTGTCTGGGCATCTTAAAGCAACAGGGGGGAAACTAAAGATAAGAATTCAAGGAAGGGGAAAAGGAAGGAGTGTGGAAGGGAAAGGAAGGAGGGGAGAAAGGAAATGAACTCTCGCATCAAAGCTGGTCTAACCCACCCCACCCCACGGCGACCACAAATTAGGCAGGGCTGTGTGACCTTGAGTCGGTTTGTGCCCTCTCTGAGCCTCAGGTCAGCTGGGAGCTCCGAGTCGGACATGCTGTTGGAGGGTATGCGAAGCTTCACAGGGAGCCTGCCCTTCACTTCCCCTCAGCTTTGCTGGGTCCCTGTGGGTCAGCGGAGTACGAGATAGAAAGGAGGAAAAAGGAAGAGGACTCGAATGCCCCGCAGAGAGGAGGTTGGAATGACCAGTGTTCCACCATCCTCCATGACTGCCCAAGGCAGCCGGTGCCCCAGTGCCCCATGCAGGCTCACTCATTGTCAAGCCTCCAGGGCAGAAACCATCCCGGGGCCCTTGATGGCTCTTATTTGCAAGGGGCCCCGCGTGAGCCCCACTGAGGCAACAAGTACAGCAGGAAGGACGGTAGCATGGGGTAATGGTTAACCACGAGGTTCTGGACGCACGCTGGGCCGAAGCCTGACTCCACCACTTTCTGCCGTGACCTTGGGCCGCCTCCTCCCGCCCTCTGTGCCCGAGCTGCCTCCCCTGCGGGGCGGCACTCTGGGCTGCTGTGAGGACTGAAACGAGTTGACTGATGTTCAAGTGTGAGCGCCGGGCTCACAGGAAGTGCTTGGTAAGTGGCAGCTGCTAGTGAGGGTTCGGTTACTGTTGCTGGTCTCAGCCCCGGCCCAGAGACTTCCATCTGAAACATCCTTGTCACCCGATCCCCAGGAGACTCCGGCTGAGACTGCTTCTCGCCTGCAGCTGCTACACCCCGGCTCGTTCTGCAGCCTGGACCTCGGAGGCGAGGCGGGTTTCATTCCTTCGGAGGCCACTGCTGGGTTTTATTTGTTGTTAATGGACATGTTTTTATTGCTACACATTGTCCTCGGCAGATTAAAATAATAACCCCTTTCGTTAATAATACCTTGCATTTAGGGAGTTGCTTTTGTCCCCACAGCTCAAAGCCCTCTACAAACATGACCTCATTCATCCTCCCTGTGCTCCCGGGGGAGGGGGGGGCACGCCTACCTCAACCTGCCTGGGTCTGATGGGGACTCACTCAGCCCGGAGTGACCTGCGTCCACAGAAGATAACCGTAACCTGAGTCTCTCTGGCTCAGGGGTCTCAGCTTCCAGGCCTCCCCCAGGTGCCCAGAGCTGTGCCCTGCAAATGGTAAACATTAAATAAACCTTTGGTAGGGGTGGGGGTGGGCTGGGCTGGGAGTAAAAGACAGAAAATTGTACTCGAACAACAATTAAAAATTAAATAAATAAATAACCCTTCAGGATAGCCTGCCTCAGTTTTCAGGAGACAGTAGGTCTGGCGCTTTTGGCCAGGCTTCCTTGAGAACGTCTTAATTAACGCCTAAGGGCTCCGCTGGCCCCAGATGGCTCTCTCGGCCCAGGTGGACCCTGCCACTCGCGCGGCCCGGCATGTGTGACATCTGCGTGCCCTTGTGGAGACGGGAGTCCCACCCCGCCGGCACTTCCTCGTTCTGGGGCTGCTGGCGGCCGGCCGGCCGAGCTCGCGGGCGGCATTAGCTGCTCGTCGCTGTGGCTCACTTGCGTTTTCTCCTGGAAGTCACTGGGAGGGAAGCGCCGCGCGGGCTGTGCTCGACTCCCCAGCCTCACTCCGCGGGCGTCAGCCCACGCACTCTCTGCGGCGTAATTATGCCAAGAGAACCGGGTCTCAGCAGGCAAAACGCTGACTCCCGTCCCTCCAAAACAAACAAACAAACAAAGGGCTAATTCAATGGGATAAACTCGTGATCGTGTCCGAGGCTGTTTTTCATCAGTAATAAACACTGGGTGTAAATTTCCCCCCTATTTATATTCTATTTTTCATATGGTCGAGTTGTCTTCAGTGGAGAGTTAAATCCACGTTGGGCAAACTCAAAATAGAACCATGGCTGGCTTTCTTCTTAGCTTCAGAATACACGCTGGGATTGGCATTTCAGACCCAAAACTTAGTTTTTCAGAAACAGATATTCTAACCGTGAATCCCTGGAATGATCACCTTCCTAACCTCTCTGCCCCTTCTTTTGTCTGCTTAAAATCCTAATCTAGAAAGTGGCTGCTACAAACAAGCTTTGTTTTCAAATTGAGAGCCAGTATCTGTATAACACTCATTTAAAAAAAAAAAAAAAGACAGTACAAACTAAATATTTGGGTAAGTCATCAATTTAAGAAAAAAAAATCTGGGTTTAGGAGTTAGTGACTGAGAAAGCCTTATTTTTTCCCTTGCAGTTATATTTAGTATACATTAACATTTGGTTTACATTCTCAGAGCGCAAAGTTTTGGTCTAAAGACATTAAAAAAAAAAATGCCCTGCTTGGCCTTGGGGGTGGGTAGTGACTGGAAGGAGGCGTGAAAGGGGTCCGTTATTTTTCAATAAAAGGCTAAAAAAAAGTAGAGCTGCTTGAATGATTTAAAAAAATAAACAATCTTGGGACTTGAGCAGCAACAAAGGCTCTATCTGCTTTCTATTTTGATCGTTCTGTTTCTCGAGATGACCACATCTTTCAGAGGAAATGAGTCAAAGCCACTCTGTCTTGCTTTTCCAGCTGAGCATGTTCAGTTTCAATGAAGTAATGAATGAACTTGGCCGCACCACCCCCTAGCCTACAACACCAAACACAGGGGCCTTGTCCAATCAGCAGGCACTCAAGGTTTTCAAGTTGAGTTCAAACAGGCCCACGGGAGACCAATCAGCGTGTGCGGCTCCGCCCCAAACGCCGGGCCGTGGCCAACCACGAGCCCGGACGAGCCAAAACACAGCGGCTGGCCAATGCGGGGGCGCCCCACGGAGCGGACCTCCGCCAATGGGCACGGCCGGGCAAAAAGAGAAACAGTGCGGGTCCTCAGGCCGCAGGATTCGAACCGAACGTCCGCTCGGAGCCGGGAGCTGGCCGAGCGGCGCGGGCCAATCAGCGGCGGCGGCTGGCGGCCCCCGAACGTTGGGACACAGCCCCGCCCCGCACTGTTGTTTGCGTGTCGGCGGCCGCGGGAGCAGGACCACAACACTCGCCGGGCGGGCTGCGGGGCGGCGAGGGTCCGGAGGCCGCGGGCGGCGGCGAGCGCGAGCCGAGGGCGGCCGGCCTCCCGCGGCCGCCGAGCTGGGTTGCGCGCCGGCCGGAGCCATGTCGGTGAACACGGATGAGCTGCGGCACCAGGTCATGATCAACCAGTTCGTGCTGGCCGCGGGCTGTGCGGCCGACCAGGCGAAGCAGCTGCTGCAAGCGGCCCACTGGCAGTTCGAGGTGCGAGCGGGCCGGAGCGCGCGCGGCGGCCGGTCCCGGTTCCCGGGGTGGGGGCGCGGGCCGGGACGCCCGGCCGCGCGCGACTCGGGGAGGCTCTATTTATATCGCCCGTAAGGCGATCCGCGGCCGCGAGGTAGGTCGCGGGGTTTGGGGGCGGCCCAGAGGGTCCTGCCGCCCGGTACCCCTGCGCGCGGCCCGAGGATGCCGGAGGGGTCGGGTCCGGCGGCCTGAGCGCGGCGTCGCGCACCCTGCGCAGGCCGGGTGGCCGACCCTCGGGCTTCCGGCTCCGTGCCGGTTAACCGCCTCTCCACCGTTGTGTTTGTCCGCAGACCGCCCTGAGCACGTTTTTCCAAGAAACCAACATTCCCAACAGCCACCACCACCACCAGATGGTAAGTGCGACCGGCACCGGCGGGAGGGTGGGCCTCGCCCCGGGGCCGCAGCCCCCGGGGGCCCGGGCCGGGGGCCGGGGACCGCTGTCAGCCGCCGGCAGTGACAGCCATGTTGCCGGGGAGCGCCGCGCCGCGATGTAAACAAAGAGCCAAAATGTCTTCCAGGAAAGAGCGGCTCCCGGCCGGCTGGCTCGCCCGCCCAACTTTGTGGTCCGGCCTCCTGAGCCGCTTAGTCTCGACCTAAAGCCATGTGCCCGGGGCCCTCCCCGGGGCGAGGGGTACGAGGGGTACGAGGGAGGTGAGGGTGTCAGGGAGTGGGGAGGGGGCTCGGATCAGAAGTAGACGTCAGGGGACCCTGGCGTCCAGTGTAGGGAGGGCCCCGAGGGACCGAGAGCTGGGGCGTCTGTTTGTGGGGAGGCCCCTCTTGCTGTTGGACCGGCAGCCCCCCATCCAAACCACTTAGCTCTACGGGGAACAGGAAAGGGATAATAAATCCACCCCCGCGCCGGGCTGGGCTGGACCCAGAGAGGTACGTTCGCTTTCCTGTTTAAGGAAAAGGACATGCCCTGAGCATGGAGGACGTACAGATTTTGACAAGAAAATGCCAAGCATTTGCTTTTAATCTCAGTGTGTGAACACATGTAAGTGCAGGAAGCAGAAGTGACTCGGCCCCGGATTTGCTCTCTTTCGTTTCCCAGCTGGCCCCCGGGCACGAGCCTTTGCCCTCCTGGCAGTGGGGAGTCCTGCTTCCACCCGCCCAGGCTGTCCGGCCCTTCTGCTGTGGAGGCCGGAAGGCTAGTCCTCCCCGCCCCCCCTAGTTACCTATTAGCCTTGCTCAGGGAGAAGGGACTGTCCCAGCCCGGAGTTGTAACACATTATTCCCAGGAGATCCATTGTGGCGTCTTGGGTGCACTCTTGGCGTTTTTGACTCTGGTGTCCTTGCCCACGGCTCCCTTTTCAGAGCTGCCGCCTTGCCTGGAGCAGCTGCAAACAGCCCCTCTGCTGGGTCTAGGCGCCCCATCTTCATTTGGTTGCAAAGGACAAATAGAGAAGGGCCTGTCTTGACCTTTTAACCAGCTTTGTCTTGGAATGGCTCATGCTGTATACAAACAGAACAGTGAAACCGCATGGGAAAGTGATAGGAGAATCCTGCGGATTGCGGGGCTGTGGCTGCTGGGGGCCGGGCTCTGCGTGACCCCCGGGGGTCTGTCTGGAGGAGACCCAGCCCGAGCCAGGCCAGGGGGGAGCCCTGGCTCCCGGCTCCCACCTTGCACCCAGAGCGCCCTGCCGCCCTCTCCTCTCAGAAGGGCCTTGGTTTGCTTTTGGGTGACCAGGATCAAGAGCCACTATCTGCATATAATTCACTATTTATGTGTTTTTTTAAACAAAAGGACATTAGAAATCATTACTTGGTTAGGTCAACCAATTTAAGAGGAAAAAATTCTGGGCTTAGGATATTAGTGACTAAGAAAGTCTTATTTTTTTTCCCCTCGCAGTTATATTTAGGGTACGTTGACATAAGTTTACATTTTCAGAACACTAAGTTTTGCTCTAAAAACGTTAAAAAAATAAACAGTCTGCTTGGCCTTGGGGGTGGGTGGGGACTGGAAGGCTCGGGCCAGAACTGGGACTGCAGGCCCCCGGAGGTCCTGCTGCTCCTTATCTGCGAATCCCAAGGTATCGAAATCCTGCCGAAGCGTCCTTCCCTCCAGGCAGGTGTTGGGTTGTGTGACAGACCTTGCAATCAGTGTATCCATCAGCGCACGGGGCCCAGGCAGAGAACCCCTGCGCGCTGGGAGCCAGTCACTTTCGTAGGGACAGGAAAGCAAAGGGAACGGTTGAACAGAAACAAGAGACCAAGTGTGGCCGCAGAGCCGTGTCAGAGGGGACTCGGGGCATGAGGAATCAGTAAATGGCTGTCCTGTCGGTCACTGTACCCTCACGTGGCCAGAGGCGGCACCTCAGATCAGCGGGTTCCGGGGGCCAGGAAGGGGAGAAGGGCCCACAGACTGGAAGCCACAGGGCACCGGGTAGGTGCGGCGGGCACGGCCTGCTGGAGAGCCCGCAGGCTCCACCCGGAGTCCTTGGAAGCCCACACTGGAGCAGTCTCCAGGGCACCGGGTCTGAACCCCGGGCTCCCAGGCCCACGGGCGCAGGAACCTGCCCCAGCTCACTCCGGCAGGCAGGCGGGCACCGGGCGGCCTTCCCGGAGACCGGAGACCGTCCACACGCCGCTGGCTCCCTCCGTGAACTGGGGAAGTTGGTCACGATGCTGTGATGCAATTGGCTCCTACTCCCCTCACCCCACCCCCATTCATTGTTTCCTGCTGCCGAGAAGTCGGCCCTGGAGGGGGGGTGGGGCGGCGAATATTGCCGGGAGGGAAATGGGCTGGGTGAGGCCAGGCGAACGGGGAGCCGGGCGGCCGCCCCTGAGGAGGACAATGGTCAGGGCTTCCTAGCTCCCGAGGCAGCCGGCCCGGCTACCAGCGCGGGGTGCTGCCCCGGCCCCTTCCGGCCAGTCTGTAACTGCAGAGCTGGGAAAGCTCCCCCGCGACAGGTGACGAGTCCTAGAATCTTGTTCCCACACCGGGCCTGCGGGAGGGGCCGGTGTTGCTAAAATTAGGAGAAATTCAAACATGGGCTTCCGGGGAAAGGGAGAATCTTCGGTGAGATCGGAACCAGCCGGCTTTCGTGTTGGCCTTCTGTCCTGTGTCTCCCCCGAGCCCTTGGTGAGGTGCCCCAGGTGAGGTCAGGGTGGATGGCACCTCTCCCCTGCCCCCCGATGCTACAGGGTTGGGGGTCCGCAGTTTCTGATGTTCGCAGGGAATCAGTTGTAGCCCCTGCCCTTCCAGGCTGGGGTCCCCCATCAGAAGTGGTGGGGGACAGTGAGGAGTTGGGGGAGCCCCGTCCCAGGGTAGTAGCAGAAGACAGCAGTTGACGGGATATGTGTGGTTACCCCGGGAAGCGGGCAGAGGGGGACTGGACTGGACGGACAGACTCTGCCAGCCCCTGGCCAAGAGCAGCGGCAGGGGCAGGGGCGGGGGGCGGTGCTGGCTAGGGACTCAGGAAACTGAAATCCCTGGGTTTGTCCTCGGGTCGCCCAGCGTGAAGTTGCACTTGACCTGACCGTACGTCGGATGAAGCAGGCTCGGGAGAGACTAAGAACCTCTCGCTTGAGCCCTGCTTGGGGGGCGTTGTGGTCCAGTGACTTGAGCTCTGGGCCGCAGCTCCCTCGCGCGCACCCAGGGAGGTGATGGAAATGCCCTAGCGGCGCTGGGGGCGGTAAGACGCGCGCCGGCTGGTTGGTGGACGTGGAAGGAAGCCGATGCTGAGAGAGGGGGGCTCCTCCGCGGCTCACCCAGGGGACAGACCCTGGGCCCGGCCACCCTCCCTGGACCAACAGCCTCGGAACATCTGAGGAGGGTGGGTTACGGGGGGGCCAGCTGGTGTCTTACCCGGGGTGAGGCCACGTGCTGGTGTCCCGGGCTGCTCAGCTCTGGTCGGAGTTAACCATCTAATTCTGGCACTCCTGAGGGTCACAAAACACTCTTTGGTTTCCATACAAATTGTTGGGTTCGTCTTTAGTTTTTGTTCTTACTGGCTCAGGGCCGGGGTGCTTTTGCCTCATTGGGGCTGCTGTGGACCGGCCAGTGGGAGGGAAGGAAGGAAGGGTTGGCCAGTCCCCTGGGTGAGCTCCCCGGAGGCTCCCTGGGACCATGGAGTGGGGCTCGGAATCGGGGGGCCACGGGGACAGCCCTCCCGACACCTGTGTTCTCTCTGAGCAGATGTGCACCCCCAGCAACACGCCGGCCACGCCGCCCAACTTCCCGGACGCCCTGGCCATGTTCTCCAAGCTCCGCGCCTCCGAGGGCCTGCAGAGCGGCGGCGGCCCCATCACGGCCGGGGCCTGCTCCCCTCCTGCAAACTTCAGCCCCTTCTGGGCCTCGTCCCCTCCCAGCCACCAGGCCGCCTGGATGCCACCCTCCTCCCCGACGGCCCACAGCTTCCACCACCTGCACCACCCACAGCCCACGTGGCCCCCCGGAGCACAGCAGGGGGGCGCACAGCAGAAGGCCGTGGCTGCCGTGGATGGCCAGAGATGAGACTGGACGCCACGGCGCTGGGCAGTCGGGGGTCGTGGGGACAGAGGAGGGTCGGGGGCCGGGGCGGGGCGGGGTTTCCCGGAGATCGCACTGGAAGATTTTATAAAGGAATTTTGGAGGGTGGGGGGCAGTATACCTCCTGGGCCACTTGGGTCCTTCAGGAGTTTCTCTTCAGGCAAGTTTTTCCTGTTTAATATATACCTATAATATATAAATGTAACTAATGTGTGTGAGTGGGCCGGCCGGCCTGGGGTCCGAGGGAGGGTCAGGAGACCCTCCCCTGTGGTCAGCACCCCTCCCTCCGCCCCAGTCCCGGGGCCGGGTGGCGCGACAGCACGGGCACCAGGTGCCTGCCCGCCACCTCCTTTCAAAGGGCGTGGCTACCGGAGGGGCCCCCGCAGGTACCTGGGGGTCCACGGTGTGGGGTCTCTGCCTTCACGGGGCAGCCCCACCCCTGCGGGCGGCCGGGACTGAAGAGCCTGCTGGGGCCAGAGGCCCAGGCTTCGCCCCTCCCACGGCGCCCAGGCGCCCAGGCCCTGGCGGAGAGCTTGCCTTTGGAGCTTGTCGTTCCCAAATCAGTCGTTTTACCAGGGTGACGTTTTAATTTTAAGATTTAAAAGAGACTTTTCTACCTTCCCTGGTTTGCGGTGCCTTTATTTGCGTTGGAAGGGAAAGCTCCCTCCTTGGGAAGAGGGGGAGCGGGGGCTCCAGACTGCTGCGGACAGGGCCCCGGCCGGGTGGCTGGTCCTGATTGGGTGCTGTGACCCCCTCTCCTCTTTGACCTCCCTTCGTTGCTCATCACAGATGGGGCCTGGCCACTGTCGGGGGGTGTGGGGGTGGGGGCTGCCCTTCCCACCCAGGGGCCCAGTGGCGGCCCCCGCCTTCCGCCCGGCGTCCTGGGCCTTTCCCAGTCTCCGCTGTTCCTGCCCTCGGCCTCCTCCTCCTCCAGGGGGGCCTGTCCCTGTGTGTGCGGTGTGGCTGTGACCCAGAGGTCCACGGGGCTGTCTGGGCGCCCTGGTGACGGGGTTCTCCCCTCTCCCAGCCTCTGGGCATCAAGACCGGGCAGGAGGCAGCTCCTGGCCCCCAGGCCCTTCTCCACTTCTCCCGCTCGGGCGGTCCGTTGGGTGACGAGGAGCCCGGTCACTTGGCGTGGGGCTGGGCCCAGGGTTGGGATCCTTCCCTCGGGCCCGAAGTGCAGCGACGCTTCAGAAGGGCCCTGCCGAGCAAGCCAGCCCACCCCTCGGGGCTGCCCCAGTGCCCTGCACGCGATCTTGTCTCGAAAAGGTTGGGTCTGCCCTTTCAGTTTTGTTTCCTGGTTGGAAACCCCTGAGGCCCCTCCCACCCTCCCCCTTGACACTGCCCACCTGTGCTTTCCCATGCTGGAAGGGACAGCCCCTTGGCTGGGGGGTGGTCACGCTGAGCCTTGTTCTGGGTCCTTCCCCAGGGTGGGCGCAGCCTGGTGAGGGCCAGTGGCGAGCCCAGACAGGGGTTTGGTTGTCCGGGGCTCTTTGGGGACTGTGGAGCCTTGTGCTTCCACGGGTGTGAGGGAGGGCCGGCCTGTCCCTGCACCTGCTCCTCCCTGCCGAGCTGGGGAGTGTGGTTTCCAGGCCAGGGATCTCGGCATTCCCAGGGAGGGAGATGGGCCTGGCCCTGCCCCCGCCCCCAGCAAGGCAAGGGCACCCCAGGGTTCAGGTGCTCCTCCCGCCACCTGTCATCACTGCAAGATGAATGGGGCCTGGCCCTGGGGAAAGAGTGGGGGTGCCCCTCCGCAGGGAGCACCTGGCTGAGCGAGCCCCACCCTCTCCTGCCCGCGTGGGACGGGGCCTGGGGAGAAACCCTTCTCAGGGCTGTTTCCTGCCGCACTTGCCTCTGTGACTCTTGTCACCCTGCCCTCACGCCCTACAGCAGGCCTCCTGCCCCGGACGCTGCTTTCCCGTGGGGGGGGGAGACCGGGCTGGGGGCGGGGGATCTCCACCTTTGCGGGGGGAACCCGTGAGAACAGGCCTGGCCACAAAGCTGCTTCCGAGACCCGAGGCCTCAGGGTGGGGCGCGTGCCCCACGCTCACCGCCCCTGCCCGCACAGAGCTACACACGTGGTCCCCTGTCCCTCCAACCGGCAAGGCCTTGAGCACGGAGGACTCGGCAGCGGGCCCTCTTGCGTGTTGGGGACCCGTGGGGAGAGGCAGCCGGAGCTGCAGGGCCTGGAGCGGGCCAGGCCAGGCCTCCCGGGGCCGCACGCTGGTCTCCATCTCTCGGGGCTGGGCGCAGAGGGGACAGGGCGGTGGCCCAGCACTGGCAGACCCTGTGCCTGAGCCCTCCCGCCTCAGCGGGGGGCCTCAAACAGAGACCTTCCCAGGTGGCTGGTGGCAGTGCACCCTGACCACCCAGGGCTGGGCACTGCCCTGGGCCAGCAGCAGGAGGGCAGCGGGCAGCTGCCACCCTCGCCTCTGCCCCAAGGGCACAGCTTGGTCACACACACTGGGCGTCCCGGGAGAGGACAGCGGGGCTGCAGCCAGGGAGGGCAGCAGCCTTGGTCTAGCCCGGGAGGCACCGGCAGCTGTGGGAGTAGACCCCCCCTGTGGCCAGCCCGAAGCCCCGGCACCCTCTGGGAATGACTTCCAGTCGGTTTAGGGGGTGCCCTGCTCTAGTGCTCACGCTGCAAGCCAGCCCCCCCCGCCCCCCCAAGAGGTCTGCCCCTGCACCTGGGGCCCTCCCTCCGCTCCACCTTCCCAAGCCGGGGCCAGAGAAGCCTCGCCACCCAGGAGCTGCTTCCTTGGCCTTTATTCAGGGCTCCGCTCGGTCAGCAGCGGAGGACCTCGGCCCGCGGGTGGGCTCCTCCAGCCCCTCCCCAGGAGGCACTTCCAGGCGCATCTCGGACCCCTCCTGGGCGCTGAGCGGCTGCGAGAGGCGTCCCTGCGAGGAGACCGGCCTGTCCGTCCGCTGGCGAGGAGAAGCTGCAAGACAGGAGGCATGGGGAGGGCTCTGCCTGCTCCCTGCGCCGGCGCCTGCGGCTGAACCCCGGAGCCTGCGGGGGCTGCTCGGGGGACAACAGGCCGGCGAGGGAAACTGCTGGGGCCGGGGGTGCGGTCCTCACAGGTGCCCTCAGCAAAGCTCCGGGACGACCGCTGAGGAACAGTGAGCCCCTTACTGCCCGCCAGGAGCCCGCCCCTTGGCCACGTGTCCTCCGTGAACAGGGGACTGACTGTTCGGGCAACAAGCACAGGTAAGCGCGGCGGTTTCCCGAACACTGTCCTCTCGCCGACTCCCACCTTGCTAGCGCCCCCAGCCGGACAGTGGGGTGCCGGGGAGGGAGGAGCATGGCACCCCCTGCTCTGTCCACCGCGGACAGCCTGGCTTTGAACCCCAGCACTGCTGCTTCCGCCCCGGGTGGCCCTGGGCAGGTACCTGGCCGGCGCTGGGCCCGGGCTCCCTCCGCCGAGAGCGAGGGAGTGGGGAGCCGAGTCTGCGCAGGTCGGCGTGAGGCCAGGACCGCGCATGCGCATGTGTGCGTGCCTGCGAGGCGCCTCACCCGGGCCTGACCCCCACCGTCGCCAGCCCTCTCCAGCTCCCGCGGGCTACCCCCCTCGCCCCCAGGCCGGAGGCCCCGACCCTAGAGCCGCTGCGAAGCACGTGGGTTGGTGACTTCGCCGGAGCGAGGGCAGCGCCTTTCCTCCGGGTCTCGTGGGGACCGGCACGAAGCAGCGCTCGGTGTCCCTTTTACTGACGGGTGAGGGGGACACTTGCAGAGTGCAGGGGCACACCTGGACGTGGCCTGGCCTCCCGGCTCCAGGCCGGCGTCCGTTTCTGGCCCCCAGGTGCCGCCTCACCCCGGGAGGCCCTCCGCCCTCTAGTGTTCAGGCAGGACGTAGCCCCCCGGGGGACAGCAGAGAGTCCGGGGACCTTCCAGAGCTGCGGGCAAGGAGGGTCCCCTCCACGGGCAGGGCCGGACGGCCCAGCCGCCACCACGCAGAGCCCGTGAGCGCGTGGGAGCAGGGACAGGCTCCGGCCGGAGCCAGAGTCTCGGGCTGCCCCCTGCCGCTGTTTCCTCTTCTGGGCGACAGGGGGCGCCACGGGGGTGCTCGCCCCACGGACCTGGGGTGCAGCCGGCCCGCAGCAGCGATGGGTGCCTCTCTTCCTCCTCCCACCCATGCCCCCCGCCCAGCTCCCAGGCCCCTCCTCTCCCCGGGGAAGTAGAGGCGTGTACCAGCCACGCGCAGGAAAGGGCGCTGGTGCAGCGGGGAGGCGGAGCCTGGGGCAGGCCCGAGGCCTCGGGAAGGACACCGCACGCGGAGGGCCCCTACCTGAGCTGTTGCCGGCCGGCACCTCGGCGCTCTGCGGCCGCGAGGGCAGCTGGCCGCTGTCACCGAGGGACGACGGGTGCCGCTGCACGTGGAGCAGCCGCGACAGCTTGGCCTTGTGCCTGGTGATGCTCGAGCCCGACGGGGACGCTGGGGAGAAGGGTCCGCGCTGAGACCCCCACCCTCCACCGAGAGCTCTGTGGGGACCTGGGGTGGGGGGCCGAGGGCCTGCCGGGCACAGCCCGCCCAGAGCGGGGCCGGACCCTGGCATCCTGGCTGAGCAGCAGAGCCTGCCCAGCCTTCCGCCGCCTGCCTGCAGCGGCCCGGGGCCTTTGGAGACTGCCCGTCTGGATGCGGGGAGGCAGGAAAGGAGACAGCCAGGCCCCGCGGCCCCAGGGAGCGCGGGGCGGGTCCCAGGGGCCTGAGCAAGAAGGGGCCGGCGGGCCGCCGGACTCACTGTCTTTGCTCGGGATGCCAGGCAGCCTTGTGTCCATCCGCCCCTTGTAGATGTGTCCATCCAGACCCAAGATGTCCACCTCGTGCTGTGGAGGTGGGCAGGCGTCCGTCACCACGTGGCACCCAGATCTTTCCCTCTGCCCCTGTCTCCACGCGGGCCTGGGGCACCAGGGAACAGCCCTGGGGTGAGGGGCGGGGGAGGTGCTCTCGCCCTCCGGGCCGCAGGTGGGGGCTGCACGCAGCACCACCACCGGAGCGGGCGGGGCGTTCCTCTTCCCAGAACCTGAGGCTTTAACTAGGTCTGAGCCACAAACTGTCTCAAGGCAGAGGGCGGGACAGGGTGACCTTGGGTGGGTTTTCCAGACGACTCGAGGACCTGGGGCTATGTCGGGGTTCCCCTCCCGGGCAGCACCCGCCCAGACCTTCAGGGCGAGCTGGATCTCCTCGGGGTGCAGGCCCTGCGGCAGGTGCTGCAGGCGGGCACGGCGGTAGGGGTAGGTGAGCGTGTGGCTGCCGCCGCAGGGCCGGGGCACCGGCGAGTAGGCGTAGTCCGACACGTCCGGCACCCTGTGGGGAGGAGTTACTGGGAACAGACGCGACCTGGGCCACCTGTGGTGGGGCCGGGCCCCAGGGAGGCGGGGGGCAGCTGTCTGCAGGGGTCTCTGGGGTCCAGGGCAGGAGTAAGGGACAGAACGGGCAGGGGAGCGAGCAGAGCAGCCCTCTGGCCTGCCGGCTGGAAGACCACACACGTAAACAGGCAAACCCCCCTGCCCCGCGCCGCACCCCCCCCAGCCCCAGAGCTTTCCCTGGTCCGGGCAGAGGTGTCTCCAGGGCCAGGGGCTCCGGCTGGGTCGTCCTCCTGCCCGCCTACCGTTTGTAGCAGGGGGAGCTGAGGCACTGGGCCTGCAGTAGCTCGCGGATCATCTGGCTGCTGGCCTTGACCGAGCCCCCGTAGTGGATCTGCACCTTCTCGATGTCCATCAGCATCTTGGAGTGCATGGAGTGCAGGCGCCCCACGCTCCGCTCCAGGGGCGCCAGGTCGGCCCGCAGGAAGGCGCCGCTGCCCAGCTTCAGGCTGCGGGCGCAGGAAGGAGGTTGAGGCGGCCGCAGAGGCGGGGCCCCGGCCCGGGCCGCACCCTGTTGGGCCCCCGGCTCCGCGGGACCCAGGGCGGGCAGGAGCCCTTCCCACGGTCCCCAAGGGGGCGTGAGCAGGCGTGTGAGCAGGAAAGGGTCCCTGAGGCGGCACAGCGCAGAGGAGCCCCCTGGAGGGGAGCCCGGTTCCCCCAGCTAACCGGGGTGGTGGCACTGGCCTCTCCCTGTCCCCGCGTGTCCAGTCCGCAGGCCTGGAACCCCTGGGTTCCTGAGCGCAACGTAAAAACCACCCTTCCCCCTGAAGCTCGGGGGACCGGAAGGCTGCAGGGAGGTGGGCTGGAGCCCGGAGCAGCGTGAGACCGCAGCCCACCCGCGTCCCCCACGTTCGCCGAGCGGCCCTCTTGCTGAGCGACGCTGGTCCCCCCTCAACCCCCCTCGGGTCCCATGCCAGGACTGCTGAGCCAGCCACAGGGCCAGGGGGTGTGAGGAGCCAAGGTGGCCGGCACCCCGGGCGAGGTCCCAGCAGGACCCCCTGTGGGACTGAAGGCGGGTGATGATCACTGGTCCTGCCTCTTGCTTCCCCAGCGCCCCAGGAAGTGTCCCGGCGGGGAACAGGGCCCCCCACGTCGCCTGTCTGTCCGGCCCCCCTGGGGAGCCCTTCGGAGGACCCCGCACGTGCCTGCGGCTCTGCTGCCGGACCTGATCCAGCTCGAAGATGGTGTAGGGGCGGGTGGAGCGGCTCCCCGGCAGGCTGGGCCCCACGGGAGTCACGGGGATGGGTCTGTGCAGGGACAGAGGGGAGCAGTGTGAGGCCTCCCATCGCCCGAGTCCACCGCCCACTCCCCTCCCCCCACCCGTGCCGCCTGCCCCAAGGACCGAGGGGCGGGCAGCTGTCCAGGCAGACAGACAGGTGCGGAGCCGCGATGGGGGGCAGGGAGAGGACGGCGCCGGAGGCGGGGAGCGAATGGAGGAGACACACAGCCCTACCGTGCCCGCCCCGTGACGGCCACCCGGCTGGGTCGGCCCCATGTGGGCACTCACTGTCCAGTCACAGGAGTCTCCAAGGGACGGTCACAGGACAGGCAGTGGAAATGTGCCAAGAGCTGCCTGTGAGGAACGGGACACGCGGAGGGTGAGTGCCCTGCCCAGAGGGTCTGGAGTGGCAGGGGAGGGGGAGAATCCACCTGGTCCCTGCTCCCCTGGAACTCACGGACTCACCGGCCCACACCTGGGCCAGATGCAGCCCGGGCCTGCCCTAACCCACCTGTCCCTGGGGGATGCTGTGTGGGCCTCGGGCGCCCTCTGGTGGCCAGCAGTGGAAACCCCACAACTCAGGCTGCCTCAGCCAGAGTCCCCTAAGAGTGGTCTCAGCTCTGGGGTCTGGGGACTCCCTCCCACTCCATTCTCACTGAACTACGAAGTGGCCTAAGCTCTAAAATACTGCCACTCCTACCGTGGGGCAGTCCACTCAGGATTAGCCACTCCCCTGAGCACGCCGTGTGCCCGTGGGAGCGGCGCATCAGGGGCCCCTGCGGGGCGTGCCGGCCTCCCCCCAGTCCGGGCCGCACCTCCGCATGCAGGCGGCCTCGTCAGCCTGGTAGAGCGGGGAGCGCTCTTTGAGCTGCTGCCGCAGGGACTTCCACCGGTCCTCCAGCAGCTGCTTCACAGGGTCCAGCTCCAGGCGGTCCAGCTGCGGCGGGCAGGGGTGGGGCCGGGCGAGCGGGGTGGGGGGGAGAACCAGGTGAGCAGGTGGGGGCCGCAGGGCCTGGGGGAGGTGGCGCCGCCCTAGTCTGGGGGCCTCGCAGCGCCCTGCGGCCCCCTCACCTTGCTGTCCATCTCCAGCAGGAGCCGGTCCAGCATCTTCTGCCAGTCCTGCTCCTGCCCGCTCATCTTGGCCACCAGCTCCTGCATCATGTGATTCAGCTGCTCCGTGGTGGCGTCGAACTGCACGCGGCTCACTTTGCCGGCCAGGGCGCTCTTGTCGGCTTTCTGCCGGGAGAGAGGAGGAGGCGCCCCCCGCCACCCGATGGGAGAGAGCCACGGACGGTGCCCTGAGGGGTCAGCCCTGACACTGAGCCCACATCCGCCCCCCACCCCTGTGAGCTCCCCTCCACTCCTGGCCTTTCCAAGAATGCCCAGTGAGGCCCCCCCCGGGGACACCGGCGGCCCCTCGGGGCCTGCCCCCTACCTACCACGTCAATCTCCATCTCCAGGTGCTCCCGGTTGGCCTTCTCCCTCTCCAGCTTCTGCAGACCCTGGTACAAGGCCTGGGGGCGAGGAGGCGGAGAATAGGGAGCGAGGAAGTGAAGGGCGGGGGCGGCCAGGGTCCCGCCTCACCCCTGCCCTGGCCACCCTGCCAGCGGCTTGGCTCACGGTGATGTCCTTCTGCTTCTGCTGATGGTCGGCGATGAGGTTGCTGGTGGTGATGTTGAGCTTCTCGCAGTCGCCCTGCACCTGCAGGATGGCCCTCTGCACGTGGCCCAGCAGCTCCTCGTCCTGTGGCGACAGGGACAGAGGCAGGCTCCCTGAGGCCGCCGCAGGGCCCTGCAAGCCAGCCCTTACAGCGCCACCCAGCAGGCGGGCCCACTGCAGGCCAGTGCTGGTCTCCCCTTCCTTGCCTCCTCCACTGCCCGCCGACAGCAGGAGGCTCTCGGCTCTTCCTGTGAGCACCCCCCCAGGGGGCCAGGGGTGCAGTTTCCTGCCTCCTAGGAGGGACCAGCCCCGGGGGACCCGGTCGGCCGGGGTCAGGGGTGTGATGGGCAGAGGCGATTGAAGCTCAGGAGTAGTGAGCTGCCCTCTGGTCCCCGAGCGTCGGCGTGGGGGCTGCGGTCTGCCCACCCGCCCCGGGCTGGATCAGCATCGCATCCTAGAGCCCAGAAGGCAGGGCTCGGGCCCGGTGGCTGCCCCAGCCCCACCAGCAGACCCACCCTTTGGTGGGGGGGGCATCGGGCAAAGGTCTGGAAGACTGGCGTGAAGGAGAGTCGGTGACCCCTAAAGCTATCCCAGCATCCCCAGGGCGTGTGGGGGGGCTCTGCTCCACCCTCAGACCGCTGTGCTTTCCCAGCCCATGGTCCCCCCACTCCGAGAGCTACTCGCCGTGACCCTGTGGAAGGACCAGGCGCCTCTGAGAGGTCAGGAAGGGCTCCCCCATGGAAAAGCGGTGCCCGGGGGCTCTGCCAGCCACTCCGGGCTCCGTGCGCCTCCCCGAGGGGCCGGGGGCAGCTGCAGCGGGAAGGAGGCCGGCAGGCGTCACCTGGCTCTGGAGCTTGGCCTTCTTGGAGGGCCGGGAGGCCGCCAGGCCGTTGACCATGTTCTGCAGCTGCTCGTAGCGCTGCACCAGCGTGCTGACCTGGTGGCCCAGGTCCAGGCTGCAGGCTGGGCAGGTGGCCCCAGGGTCAATATGGCCGGGCGTCAGGGTTATCGGGGTCTTCTGAGGTGCTATGCTCATGGTCAGCAGCGTGGAGGAGGAGGCCAGCATGCCCTCGATGATCATCCGGAGCTTGTCTAGCTGGGGGCGGGCGAGAGGGCGGGCGCAGGGCCATGAGCGGGGCCCGGCCAGGTTCCGGCCACCGTCACGGCCGGCCTGCGCTTCCCGCCCCTCGCCTGCCGGGACCTGGGCAGCTGCTGTCCCCTCAGTGCCTCGCAGAACGCGTGGCCTGTGGGAGGCGCGAGACATCTGTCCATGAAACAGTGACCAGGGTTCTCGGGGAGGGGGCATCAAAGCTGAGGGAAGCCCACGCAGGAGACCTTTCTCCAGCCAACCCGCTGGCGCCCTGTGAAGGCATGGCTCCTCTAGCTACACCTGAGAGTGGTGACATCTGTCAGAGGCCCCCCAAGGACACACAGGCCCGGCTCCCGCCCGGGGACGGGAGGGGCAGCCTCACGTACGCCCAGTCCTCACCCAGCAGGCACGCCGCCCGCAGTAAAGCGCTGTGGTGAGTGTCGCCACCACTCCAGGGCGCTCTCGTGGGCTGGGCGGGAGCAAACGCCTTCCACCGACCGGCCCTCCTGCTCTCTGCCGTTCCCCACGGTCCTACTCTGCCCCCCACAAACGATCGGTCCCGGGCAGGCGCCCACCCGGTTCAAGGGCATCCAGTCCCTAGACTGGCCGAAGACCTGTGCCACGTTGCCGGGCTCAGAAGGAGGGGCGGGGCCCACCCGAGCGCCCCCTCGTGGACATGTGTGACACAGCGGGGCCGGGGCAGCCACGTGGGAGCGTGCGTGAGAGAGGCAGAAGCTGCCAGAGCAGGACGGGAAAGAGACGTGAGAGTGTTTGAGAGCAATGGATGAGGAAAGAGACTCGGGAACAGACACGCACCAAAACAGACAGACAGACAGCGAGCGGCCTGGACTGGCCTGGGCCTCGGCTTGGACGTCCCTCTGTCTCCGGCTTCCTGCACGCGCACCTACCGCCAGCCTAGCCCCGCTTCGCCTGGGCCCGGTGACCCTCCCTTGCTCGCACCCAGGAGAACCCGCACTCCCCTGGAGAGTCCAGAGAGCCTGTCGGTGGGCCCTAGGGCTCAGAGACGGGGTTAGTTCTCTCTAGGAGACCGGAAGATGCTCCCCAAACCACTGGCATTTCAGCGGGGTCAGGAAGAGTGAGAAGTGGCCGTCCTGGAGGGGCAGCAGAGGGAGCCCCGGAGGCTGGGGGGTCAGGGGTGGGAGGCGGGGCCTCGCTGGCGCTGCCCCAGGAGGCCAGGCTGCCCCAGGGGGGGTGAACCTGGGAGGACCCTGGAGGTGGCTGAGCTCAGACACGGGCTTTGGAATGACAGGTGACTCGCACACACAGTGACCTGCTCTGGGGTCATGGGGTCACACCCCTGTCCCAGCAAACCTGGGAGTGGCCCAGAATGGGGCCTCGACGCCCACGGGCCCCCTCGGCTCAGCGGGCTTTCCCATCGGCCCCTTCCCGAAGTGCTCAGAGGGCTGCTCCCGGTCCCGACACTCGTCCGCAGAACATTCTGGGTGGCCACGGCTGGCCTCGCCCAGGACTGAAAAGCAGACACCAGCAGGAGTGGGAAGAGACAGCCCACAGTGTGGGACAAAGTACTTGCTCATCACACACCCAACAACAGTCTAGTATCCAGAATAGATAAAGAACTCTCAATAGGCCCTGGCTGGCGTAGCTCAGTGGATTGAGCGCAGACGGCAAACCAAAGTGTCGCAGGTTTGATTCCCAGCCAGGGTACATGCCTGGGTTACAGGCCATGGCCCCCAGCAACCGCACATTGATGTCTCTCTCTCTCTCTTCTTCCCTTCCTTCTCTAAAAATAAATAAATAAAATCTTAAAAAAATAAAAATAAAAATAGCACAATATTAAAAAAAAAAACTCTGAATAGCTAGACGACAGAAAGACAACCCAATTTTCAAATGGACAAAGGCTTTGAATATGCGTCTTTCCCAAGAGGATACGCGAACGGCCAATAACCACAGGAGAAGATGCCCAACATCATTAGCCACCGGGGAAATGCAAACCACAACCGAAATGGGACACCACGCCGCACCATTAGGCGGGCTCTGACCAACCAAATGCATGAAAGGAAAGTGAGTGTCCGTGCGGATGGGGGGCTGAAACCCTCGCGGGTGGCCGCTGGCGGTGTGAACGGCGCGGCGGCTGTGGGAGACACTTCGGCAGCCGCTCAGAACGTCGGCCGCGGAGGGAGGTTCCGTGCAGCCCAGCCCCCCCACTCGCCGACACGCAGCCAAGGGAAGTGAGAACGCGCGGCCGCGCAAAAACGCGCAGATGCGTGCTCACGGCGTCCTTATCCAGCGGAGCGCAAAGGCAGGAACACCAGGTGCCCTTCCGCCGACGGCGGGATAAACAAGATGTTTCCGCAGAGCCGGACGGCAGGCCACGGCGCAGCCATGGCACCGACGGAAGTCCACGCCGCGGCAGGCAGGAGCCCGGAGGGCCTCACGCCGCGTGAGAGGGGCCGGCACAGAAGGCTACGTGCTACGTGAGATGCCATTTACGGGGCACGCCCAGGACGGGGGTCTCCCCAGAGACGGAGCGCCGCCAGGGGCAGGGGTGACGGGGGGGCCGGGCGTGGCTGCCGACAGGGACGGGGACTCCTTCCGGGGAGGGGGGGCGGGCCTTCTGGAATCCGATCCTGCTGATGGCTGCACACCTTTGTCATTGGACCAAGAACCACCGCGTTCACTTTGAAAGGGTGAGTTCAAGGGGGCGGGAGTCACCTAATTTTGAAAGATGGGGGAACGCCTTCATGGCGGGCGGGCGGGCAGGCAGGCCTTGACGCGGGCCTTGCCCCTCGTGGACCAGGGGCCCCTCGTGGACCAGGAGCTGGTTCTGGATGACCAGAGGCTGAATCCTAGGAACAGCCCTCTCCCCCACCCCCCATCCCCATGAGACACACACACACACACACACACACACACACACACACACAGAGGAGGAGCTGGTGGGGACTGATGAGGCTGCCCCCTCCTGGGCAGCCAACAGAACGGCCCGGCCCCTGTGCTGAGCTGGGTGGGTGCCTCACCTGATCCTGCAGGTAAAGGGAAGCTTCAGAGACTGAATGCTCCAGGCTGGCCTTGCCCCGTTCCTGGCTGTTCCTCAGCTCGGCCAGCTCCTTCTCGATGTCGGCCATGGTGACTCTGCATGCGCAAGAGACGGCCTGGCCACAGCGCCAGCCCAGGGGCCCGGGCCCTCCCCCGCCCAGTGCTGGCCCCCGCCGTCAGGGATGGCGGCCGGCGGACCGGGCCTGGTTCAGCCTTCCCAGCAGGCTCCGCCCAGGGAGCCCAAGGCCCTGCCTGTGCTGGGGTGGGTGCCCAGGGTGCCTCCAGCTGGCAAGGCCGGGCACTGTGCAGAGAGGCCTCAGAGGGACTCTAGCAAGCACTCTCAGCCCCGGACTGGGCACAGAGTCTAAGGGGCCTTTTTGAGAGGTAGGGGAGGAGGGCTCTTTCAAAACCCTGGTGCTGAGCTGGTTTAGGAACTTGGGGAACCTCCACCAGCCACTTGAACTAGACTCGGGCAAACTGAAGAGTGGCCGTCACCCAGGTCAAAGGCCAGCATCGGGCGGGCCAGAGCCGCTGCCGCCTCCCTGGCTGAGCACGGGTGAGGTCAGGGTGGGGGCAGCTACCTGAGGAGGCCCAGCTGCAAGCTCAGCTGGCTGCTTTTCACCTCCTTCCCCGTGTCTGGGTGCACGTCGCCCTCCAGGATCTTCTGTATCTTGTCCATCTACAAGACCGAGGGGGGGGCGGCCAGGTAGGCTGGAGTTCTGGGCTTCCTGAAGGTGCCGCTCCAGCCTGAGCCAGCCCCTCCCCCAGTCCTTAATCCTCGTCCAACCTTCGTGCATCCACTCATCCACCCCGGGGAGGTGGACGGGTGGCTGTGACCGCTGGCCCCAGACGGCCCCGGGGCCTAGGCTTTACTGGGAACACCTGCGGGCACCTGGACATGCTTGGGCCACCTGGTCGGTGCAGCTGCGCCCTCGCCGCTCCGAGCGTCCGGTTTGCGATCGGGAAACGGACACGGTGATGTCCGAGGGCCTCTCCTACCCGACGGGACTGTCGGGACCCAGGGGGCCCCACGAGTGCGGGACAGGGCCGCGTCAGGCATCCCAGCGCCAGGGGCGCGGGGGACTCCTGGCGCGGGGTGAAGGGGGCCACCCTCCCTTACGTACTTTCGCTTTCTCCTGCCGGAATTCTTTGGTCAAGGCCTTTATGTTCTTTGTCTGCTCCTGAACTTCCGGCGGGATGGTCTTTTGCACTACGGAAAACGGGGCCCCTCGGGTCAGAAATGGTGGGGTTCCCAGTGGGCTTCCCATCCCCATTTCCAGCCCCCATGAGGAGGCTGCCCTGGAGAACACAGCCCCGCGGGGACGGGATGGGAAGACAGGAGACAGGAGTGTCCCTGGCCCGTAAGAAATCCACCTAAGGAGCCCCGGCTGGTGTGGCTCAGTGGATGGAGCGCTGGCCTGTGGACCAAGGGGTCCCCGGCTCAATTCCCAGTCAGGGCGCATGCTACAGGCCAGGTCGCCAGTAGGGGGCGTGTGAGAGGCAACCACACATTGATGTTTCTCTCCCTCTCTTTCTCCCTCCCTTCCCCTCTCTAAGTAAAATTATTCTGGACCTGGAGCTGTGAATGGGCAAAGTTAGGTTTGAATCCTCCAGTCTCTCCTGCCCCCCAGCGGACACTGTTGGTGCCCCCTTCCCCCTTGTCTCCCGGCAGCTAAAGGCTTAAGACGCTGCCTCATTCTGTTCCTGAGGCTCCTTTGCTCCTGCTGGTTCTACTCCATCTTTTAAACCCTGAAGGCTCTCGGAGAACCCGGAATGACCAAGAACAGACCCGTTCTATGTCCTGGGACTCGGAGGAGGCCGGCTGCCAGGGGTTGAGGTCGGGGGTAGGGGGGTGAGGGTGGTGTGGGGCCGGGAAGAGATGAAATCCATTCAGAACAAAGACTGTGGCCCCTACTCCCGGCCGGCGGTACCCACCCATGAGGGAGAACAGGTACTGGATCTTCTCCAGGTCGGACTGGCCAGCCTTCTTCTCGTCCAGCTCCTTCATGGTCTCCTTTAGCTCCATGTAGAGGGCGATGAGCTCCCCCATCATACGGAACGTCTCCACTGCCACAGGGAAGCTGATGGCCACTCTGTCCAGTGAGTCGTGTCTCTCGCCCACGACACTGCTCCTTTGAGGTGAGACTTGGTCGACATGGTGAGGGGAGTCTGTATGCCTGGAAGAGGCGGCATCCTGGCGTGGGGTAGTCTGGATATAAGTCTCAGGTTGATTTGGATCCAAAACGACTCGGACATACTTATTGCTATCTGGGTATCCCAGGCCACTCGGGCCCGGGTACGCGAAGCCCTGGGCGCCCGGGATAGAGGGTGTGTGGTCACGCTGATGCGGGCCACGTGGGGCCAGAGGCTGCTGCTCTGGGCGTGCAGGTTGCATACCTGTGCTTATCGGCATCGGACCACGCTGGTCTGTGCCAGGGGGCATCAAACCCTGTTGATAAGTTTCTGTTGGTGCCAAACCTCCTTGGACTGGACCTGGTGACATCAAACCTTGCGAGGCTGGAAGTGCTGACACCTGGGTAGGATGATCTGTGCTACGAGGCACCACCCCGTGCTGATACGGGCGTGATGGTGTAAAAGGTGGATAATCTGAGGGGGACGGGAAGCCGCGGAACTCGGTGCCTGGTGGTACCAAGCCTTGGTAATCTGCACCAGGTTGGCTCAAACCACCCTGATCCGTCCCAGGCTGCATGGAATCAGGACGATATGCACCACGCTGGACCACACCATGGGGATAGGCCCCTGGCTGGACCAAACCAGGTGGATATACACCACTCTGAACCAAACCCTGCTGATCCATTCCAGGTTGGACCAAATCAAGTTGATCTGCACCAGGTTGGACCAAACCAGGCTGACCTGCACCAGGCTGACCTGTGCCAGGTTGGACCAAACCAGACTGAACTGCACCAGGCTGACCAGCACCAGGTTGGACAAAACCAGGCCAGCTGGCACCAGGTTGGACAAAACCAGGCTGACTTGTGCCAGGCTGACTTGTTCCCGGTTGGATTGTACCAGGCTGACCTGTACCAGGTTGGACAAAACTAGGCCAACCTGCACCAGGTTGGACAAAACCAGGCTGACCTGCGCCAGGCTGACCTGCACCAAGCTGACCTGTTCCTGGTTGGATTGTACCAGGCTGACCTGCACCAGGTTGGACAAAACCAGGCCAACCTGCACCAGGTTGGACAAAACCAGGCTGGCCTGCACCAGATTGGACTGCACCAGGTTGGACTGTACCAGGCTGACCTGCACCAGGTTGGACTGCACCAGCCTGACCTGCACCAGGCTGACCTGTACCAGGTTGGACAAAACCAGGCTGACCTGCACCAGGCCGACCTGCACCAGGCTGACCTGCACCAGGCTGACCTGCACCAGGCCGACCTGCACCAGGTTGGACAAAACCAGGCTGGCCTGCACCAGATTGGACTGCACCAGGTTGGACTGCACCAGGCTGACCTGCACCAGGTTGGACAAAACCAGGCTGACCTGCACCAGGTTGGACAAAACCAGGCTGACCTGCACCAGGCTGGCCTGCACCAGGTTGGACTGCACCAGGCTGACCTGCACCAGGCTGACCTGCACCAGGCCGACCTGCACGAGGTTGGACTGCACCAGGCTGACCTGCACCAGGCTGGACAAAACCAGTCTGGCCTGCACCAGGTTGGACTGCACCAGGCTGACCTGCACCAGGCTGGACAAAACCAGTCTGGCCTGCACCAGGTTGGACTGCACCAGGCTGACCTGCACCAGGTTGGACAAAACCAGGCTGACCTGCACCAGGCTGACCTGCACCAGGTTGGACTGCACCAGGCTGACCTGCACCAGGTTGGACAAAACCAGTCTGGCCTGCACCAGGTTGGACAAAACCAGGCTGACCTGCACCAGGTTGGACTGCACCAGGCTGACCTGCACCAGGCTGACCTGCACCAGGCCGACCTGCACGAGGTTGGACTACACCAGGCTGACCTGCACCAGGTTGGACTGCACCAGGCTGACCTGCACCAGGCTGGACAAAACCAGTCTGGCCTGCACCAGGTTGGACTGCACCAGGCTGACCTGCACCAGGTTGGACAAAACCAGGCTGACCTGCACCAGGCTGACCTGCACCAGGTTGGACTGCACCAGGCTGACCTGCACCAGGTTGGACTGCACCAGGCTGACCTGCACCAGGTTGGACAAAACCAGTCTGGCCTGCACCAGGTTGGACAAAACCAGGCTGACCTGCACCAGGCTGACCTGCACCAGGTTGGACTGCACCAGGCTGACCTGCACCAGGTTGGACTGCACCAGGCTGACCTGCACCAGGTTGGACAAAACCAGTCTGGCCTGCACCAGGTTGGACAAAACCAGGCTGACCTGCACCAGGTTGGACCAAACCAGGCTGACCTGCACCAGGCCGACCTGCACCCGATTGGACTGTACCAGGCCGACCTGCACCCAGGTTGGACAAAACCAGGCTGACCTGTTCCAGGCTGACCTGCACCAGGTTGGATAAAATCAGGCTGACCTGCACCAGGTTGGATAAAACCAGGCTGACCTGCGCCAGGTTGGATAAAACCAGGCTGACCTGTACCAGGCTGACCTGCACCAGGTTGAACAAAACCAGGCTGACCTGCACCAGGTTGGACCAAACCAGTCTGTACTGCTCCAGACTGGACAAAACCAGGATGAACTGCTCCAGGTTGGACCAAACCAGGCTGAACTGCTCCAGGTTGGACCAAACCAGTCTGTGCTGCTCCAGACTGGACAAAACCGGGCTGAACTGCTCCAGGTTGGACCAAACCGGGCTGAACTGCTCCAGGTTGGACCAAACCAGTCTGTACTGCTCCAGATTGGACAAAACCAGGATGTACTGCTCCAGATTGGACAAAACTAGGCTGAACTGCTCCAGGTTGGACCAAACCGGTCTGTACTGCTGCAGGTTGGACCAAACCAGTCTGTACTGCTCCAGGCTCGACCAAACCAGTCTGATCCATTCCAGGCTGGACTAAACCAGGATATGCACCAGGTTGAACCCAACTAGGTGGATAAGCACCAGGCTGGACTGCACCAGGCTGAACTGCACGAAGCTGGTCCCCAACATACTGCTGTAAGCCACGGTGTGCGAATTCAGGTGTTTCCACGCTGAGCTGTACAGAACCTTGCTGGTCTGCGACAACTTGCATCAGACCAGCTGATCCCAGAACATGCTGGTCTGTAATCAGGGGAACCAGTCCTTGTTGATCCATGCCAAATACTGCAAATCCCTGCTGAGCTATGCCAGGCGGCCCCACGCCACTCTCGTCCATGCCAGCCCATTCCACACCACGCGGGTCTGTGCCAGGAAGTCTCACACCTTGTTGATATGTGCCAAGTGGAACTACACCAGGCTGCTCCACACTAGGTAGTGCCAGTCCTTGCTGCTCTGTGCCAGGTGCCCGTGGTGGCACCACATCCTGCTGACCCATGCCGGGGATTACTGATTCCTGCGTACCCATTCCAGGCGGCATCATACCCAGCGGGCTCGTGCTGAAGGGGAACACGCCAGGTGGGTGAGTGCTCGGCTGTAGCAATTCAGGCTGATCCAGGACAAGTGGCTCCAACTCGTGCTGATCTGGCCATGCGTAGACTTGACCCGGGCTGACCTGCACCGCCCTCATCGGGTCTGGGTGCACGGGACGACGCCCGCCCCTAGCTGAGGCTGAGTCCTCTGGCGCGGGGCCAGGGTGTGCGAAGCCGGACTGGTCTCGAGGCTCCGCTCTGAGTTGGGACTGAGGGGGTTGCTGGGTTTTGGCCAGGCTGGCTTCATCACGGGCCCTCGGGTGCTGTTCTTTCCCAGGAAACCCAGCGGCAGAGGCGAGTCTGCCTTGTTCCCTGCCAGGCACGCCCTCAGATGGGTGTCTTGACCTGCCGGTCCCTGGTGAGGTCTGATCTGGGCCAAAGGCACCAGCAGAATCCAGAGAACCGCTCGGACCCATGTCATTTGATGTTAAGGACGTCTGCCTTAAGCTTCTGCGTTTCCGAAGTGCTGTTGTTGACTCCGAGCCCTGGTCGAAGAGGAAGAAAGCAAGCAGAGGCAGCAAATAAAAGTGTTGTAAGGGTCAGAGGGGAGGAAATCCGGGCTCTCTGAATAGGAACACTTAAGGCCCCTGGGGGGCAGTCCCCGCTGGTCCCCAGATAGAAGCTGGACCCAAAGGAAGACTTTGACACCCTCGGAGGGCAGTTCTGCAGACTTTTGAGGATCTGCACATTTGCAAATGGCATCGTAATCTATAACCTCCCTCCTGAAAGACGGGGGCACCACAATACGCAAGGGGTCCGCGCCGCAGAAAGAACACGAGTACTTAAGTTTCAGATACGAAGTCCGCCCTGCAGTCGGCCCACTGCTGACGGCAGCAGTGTGCACTGCGGAGCAGCTGACCCGCATATTTAAAATGCAGACGCACAGGCCCTTGGACCCAGAACTTGCACAGACAGAAGTGTTCTCCACCGACGCTCACAGAAGGCCGCCCAGGTGCGGGTACGAAGACTGAGCCTGTGGCATTGTTTATAAAAACAGGTTACCGATAGGGGACTGATGGAGGACGTGTGGTGCACCCACACAGGAGGACACTGAAAATCTGTTTGAAAAGAATGAGTAATGGACTATCTCCACATCCAACCCAAACGGAGCCACAAGGACTGCCTTTGCCCTCCTTTCTGGAACAACCAAAATCTGAAACCCAAAACCAATGATGAGACAGTGGATTTCTGGGCCCTGGCTGCCAGCTAACGGAGCTCAGCCGTTCCCGGAAGCTGGGGAGACAGACGACGCGAACCACACCGCCGCCTCGCCTGGGGCTTGGACGGAGTTTCCAGGCTGCAGTGCGGGAGGCAGCTCACGGGGGCCCAGCACACTCCCTGAGCCGGGGAGAAAAGCCGAGCGTTCGGGAGGCGGCGGCCACGGGACCAGGAATCGGAAAGCAGCAGCACAGAGATGACTCGGGAGGCCTGCGGAGGGTCCCCCTCGGGCGCCTGCGCAGAAGTGGCCGGCCCACCCGGGAGGAAGCGCTCTGAGGCCGAGAGAGGAACCCCCGACAGGGCCGGAGGGACCAGTGCTGGGATTCTCACGAGGTCGGGCGCAGTGCCTGCTCCTGCCGGCCAGCGTGGAAAACACCCAGAATTTGCGGGGCAGAGTCCCCAGCAGGGGGTGGCCTCAGCAGTGGAGAGTGGTCAGCTCTACACAGAAAACTGCTGGGGACCCACTAAGAAAATAACTAAAAGATATACGGACAAAAAAGAAAAGAACAATAAAGAATATGCAGGCAAAGAAACAGCAAGGGGTTTCACATGGTACAATACTAGAGGAGTGGAGGGACATAGAAAACATAGCAAAACGGAAGGGGTGGACTCAGTAATTAAACACTCCAATCAGAAGGCAGAGGTTGTGAATGACAATTTAAAAGAAAACAAAGAGAGAAAGAAGGAAAGGAAGGAAGGAAGGGAGGGAGGGAGGGAGGAAGGAAGGGAAGAAAGAGGAAGGAAGGGAGGAAGGAAGGGAGGGAGGGAGGAAGCAGAGGTTGGCAGGCTGGAGTGAAGAACGTGACCCCAGGGGGCACACAGGGGTGAGCGCCAGTGGGCGGGGAGGCCGGCCCTTGGGGAGGAGGACGGGGAGAAGCCCAAACCCTCGAGAGGCCTGCATCCCAGCCCTGCACCCTGGGGTGCTGCTGACCACCTGTGCTCTTGTTCTCGGGCCAATTCAGGAACGGAAGGACAGCGAGTACCTGAAGGAAGATTGGAGAACCAGGAAGTGATTAATAACCAGGAAGCGACTCATCACGAGTCGGCTGTCCACGCGAAAATGAGGCTCGAGAGCCAGAAGAGTCTGCGTCCCGAAGCCCACAAGAACAGAAGATACCGCCTGCGGGCTCATCGGAGAGGAGCTGTCAAACTTCACGGGATCCCAGACTTTGACAGGAGCCTGGGCAGACACCTGTCATCACCTGGGCTCGTCCTCTAGCTTTTTTTTTTTTTTTTAAAAGATTTTATTTATTTATTTTTAAAGAGAGGGGAAAGGAAGGAGAAAGAGAGGGAAACATCGGTGTGTGGCTGCCTCTCACGCGCCCCCTACTGGGGACCTGGCAGGCATATGCCCTGACTGGGAATCAAACCGGCGACCCTTTGGTTCACAGACCTGCGCTCAAACCACTGAGCTACACTTAACCCCTAGCTACTCAAAAGCTTGTGGCATTTATATTCTCCCTTGCTTCTGGAGCTGTTCACGATTCTGAGAACTGTCAAAACGCTGACACTTTTTTAGCTCCAGGAGGAGCGGAATGTCTCCAGGTGCTTATGTGGGTGCTTATTTACAGCCTCGCAGGTGCCTTCTGCCGGCTCCCTGAGAACATGTGGGCTCACTCAGAACACACGACCGTGGTATCTGTAAATCAGCTTCAGCTTTGTAAGAAATGCAGCACGGAAAAGCCTAGTCACTGTGTCGTACACCTGAAACTAATATTGCATGTCAACAGCAATCAAAAAAATTTTTTTTTGAATTTTAAAACAGTGAAAGCGGAGGCCGCCTGTTCCTAGGCCGCCCCTCCCGTTTGCAGACTCCTCTTCCAAAGCTTTTTGATGGTACTTTCCTCCAAAGATGGGCCCGGAGTTCAGAAAACCGCAGGGTGTCTCGTGTCTATTGTACGGAAATACTTGTTGCACCCCAGATGGCCATGCGGTGGCGCCAAAGGGTCCCCTCTCCTCCCCTCTCCCCCGTGTTTCTGCATATCTATCTGCGTGACCCTTTTTGAGGGACCCAGATGCACAAAGCCAGGGGTAGGAAAATGTCAAAACCACACATCAGCTGGCCCTCGTCCTGGATGGCCATGTAAACATCCCCATTTTTTTCAGGCAAAGGAAGGACGGGGCTCGAAAAGGACCTGGTTACCCCGGCGCCTCTGCGCAAGCTCCCCCGTCAGCGAAGGGCCCCTTCCCTGCAGAGGCCTTATTGCCGCGGCTGGTCCACCTGTGTCCACCGACGGCGAAGGGACCTGTGCATGCCAGGACAGGCCGCGAAAGGACTGTGAAACACCGCAAAAGTAAACCAGGGGCCCTTTTCCATCCACATGGGTGGCCAAGCTCCAAGAACCGGGGGCCTTGAAGACAGCGCTGGCGGAACCGCGAGGTGAGACCCCTTCTCCTCCACGGCTGGGGGCGGGGCCTACGCGGGAACCCCACCCACCCACCGGAGGCAATTAGCCGAAAGCCACCCAGACCACAAACGCAGACTCCATTGCTGGGAATTCGCCCTCTGCGTGTGTCCACTCGTGGAGCGCTGTTGTAGCCCTGGGGGAGAACGTGAAAACCAGCCCCAGTGGGAGACTGTGAAACCAACTACGGATGTCCACGCAGCGGAACCCTGCCTGACAGCAAAGAGGGAGAGAGGCTCGGGGGAGACCGCCGCCACACCCCTGCCCCCTATGGGATGTGTTCACCCCTGGGGAGACCTTCCAGCCGTCGGCGATCGCTTGCTCCAGCTCCTCCCAGGTGACCATGGTGACTTCTTCCCCAGGAGGTATCAAAGTCAGCTTCCGGCTCAAGGGTTCCTGACGGCGACAGACAGCACGGGGCTCCGTTAATCCCAGGACGACAGACAGCACGGGGCTCCGTTAATCCCAGGACGACAGACTGCACGGGCTCCGTTAATCCCAGGACGTTTGAGGAGCAGGGCTGAGCTGACGGGGGGGGGCCTGCCGCAGCCCCAGCCCCAGCCCCAAGGAGATGTCACTGGGAGTCTCAGACCACTGGCTTCCTGCCTCATGGGGGCGCTGGTGGAGCACTGGGCAGGGATGGGAGGGCTTTCCCTTCAGCCCCCGGGGGGCAGCACCTGAGAGGCAGAGGGCAGAGCTCGTCCTCCCTGGGGGGACACAGACGTCCGGGGCAGACGCTCGGAGGTGCCAAGAGGGAGCCAGGCTGCGGGCACCCATCCCCCCCCCCATCCTGCCCCTTCCCGCAAAACCGGCGGACGTTACCAGGACTTCATCCCGGCTTCTGACTATCCGCTCTATTTCCTCGATCCGTTGCAGAAGTTTCTGGAAGAAGGGTGCAGAGGTGGGGTGTCAAAGCAGGCCCTCCTGTGGCCCCTACACACACACACACACACACACACGGGTGAGGGGGAACCATGTGTGAGCCTTGAAGGAACCAGGGACAGAAGACGGGTACGCAGACAAGAGGAGGGGACATGGGGGGTGGCGGGGTGGCACTGGGGACAGCTGTGCCAGGGGCAAACGCTAAATGCTGGCATGGGAACCTTTGGTCCTAGGACCCCCTTCCGACAGCCCACCAGTGACACACTGCCGGGTGCACAATGGGGCTGCCCTCGCTGCCCACGGACAAGCGTTAGTTACTGGGGACTTGGAGGGCGTCTGTGGCGCCATGTTGTTTCAAAGCAAATCGCTGGAACTGAAACCTTCTGCCCGCCTTCAGAATCTAAGACTCTTAAAGGTAAATAAAATGTCTTCTCTCTGAAAAATAAAACAACCTAACACCCCCAAACACCTCACGATCAAAAGCAAAGCTTCCCAGAGCAAAAAATGAGCCCCGCTCCGGTTTCGAGGCCTGGGATGACCCAAGTGGGCGGAGGTTCCCGCCCCCCCAGAGTCTCAGCCTCCCCTTTCGCTCCTTGGAGCCTCTCCTCTCCCTCAAGTCTCTTCTCAGCCTCTTGCTGCGCCCCCCCTCAGTCTTCAGCCCCAACCCCCCCCCCAGAAAACAAAGAGCCGAATGAAGGTGTTGCTGCGCTTGCAGCCGGAGGTTGGGGGACTGAGGGGATGACCCAGAACTCTCTCCGTCCCAGCCCTGGCTTGTCTCCCAACACCCACCACCTTCTTTCTTTACGCTTCAGAGGAAACTCAAAGGATTACTCTGAGAAGCCGTCAGCGCCCCCCCCCCCGCCCCACCCCGGGTGGGTTCAGGACCCTTGGGTGTCTGATACTCGAGGGTGAGCCTCCATGCAAACCGGGAGAGGAAGGGCGATGCGGGGCGGGGGAAGGGGGGGTCCCACCACCCTCACAATTGGGGTCATCTCCTGGGCTTTCTCCCGGCCTTCCTTCAGCTTTTTCGCGTCGTGCATGATGGTCTGGAGCAGCTCCGTGGTCTGCAAGGTGGAGTGGGGGCCTTGTGGGTCTAGGCTGCACCAAGGCCTGGCACCCCCACCATCCCAGCACCCAGCACCCGCACCCAGCCTGTACTGGCCTCCTCCCTGCAGGGGTGGGTGGTCGTGGGTGCCCTTGGGACTCAGCCCCAGCCTGGGCTGGAGGGCGGTTTGGAGGCACCTGGCGTGTTCTCACCTTTGGTCTGTCCTTCCACATTTTTATCAAGCCCCTTTGCACTTTCTCGGGCACCAATGTGGCCGTGCCGGGCACTGGTATGGCCGTCTCAGGCAATGCTGAGGATGCCCCCAGCACAGGCGTGGGCATCTTGGGCAGTGGTGTGGCCGTTACCAACTTGGTCTTCTCAATAGTGGGCGTGGCCATATCGCTAGTAGGCGTGGTCATATCCGTGGTGGGAGTGGCCATCTCCTGAGCCAAGTCCTTTTCCATCTCCTGGGTCTCCGGCCACTCCTGGGCGTCCAAGTCCTCTCCGCTTACCAGGGCAGTGAAGTATTGCATGTGATCCAGCATGGCCTGCACCTGGCTGTCCATGGTCTTGAACTGCCGGCTCAGGTCCTGGACCTGCCCACCCAGGTCCTTCACCTGGCTATCCAGCGTCTGGGCCGGCACCCTGGCCACGCTGCTCCTCCGCTTCTCCTTGGGCACACCCACCTGCGGGGTGCTCAGCGAGGCCCGTGCGCCCTCCAAGGAACGACTCGGCTCAGGCGACAGAGTCTGGAAGTCCACCCGGGTGTCCTGCAAGTGGAGGTTCTTGAGCATGGCCACGATGAGCGTGTGAAGGGCCGTGAAGTTCACGGCGCCCACCTCCGGGGTGCCGATGGCCAGGTCGGCCAGCTCCCGGAGGGAGACCTTGTTGGTGGCCGTCGCGGGCGGCATCGTGCGCGGTCTCCGGCGGTCAGCTCCGGCGACCGGACCGTTGGCCACGCCCCCTCACTGTTCACGGCCACTGTGGGCTTTCGAGGACCCTGTGGGGTCCCGCGTCCTGCCCTGCCTCTGGGCTCTGTCGGGAGTCTGCCTGGAGTTCAGAGACGAGCGCCCCGCAGCCGCTCTGCGCTCCCGGAGCCCGGTCGGCGCCCGCCTCCCGGGCGGGTCGGGGGCCCCTCCGGCCCTCCGCTGGCTCCTCGCAGTCTCCGCTCAAGCCCAGCGCCGCCCCCTCCTCGCGCCGGGTCTCGGCCAGCGGACGTTTGAAAAAAGGCGGGGGCGGGCGGCGACCCAGTGGCGGTGGCCCCCGCGTGCCCGAGGGTTCCGCGGAGGGGCACGCCCCCAGAGGAGGACGGCGCCCGGGGCGCAGGAGTCCGCACCTCGCGGGACCTGCCGAAACTCACCCGGGGACCCTTTCCCACAGGGACCCGGGGACGCCTTGGTCACACTCCCGGGCACCACCCGTTTCTGTTCTCAGTGAACGCTCCCGAGGAAAGGCGACTCGGGGCTGTGCCAAGGCATTTTTATCGGGGAACAAACACCTCGGCTCCGGGAGGGGGCGCGTCCGAAGGCTCACCGAGCCTCCCGCCGGCCCTTAGCCAGAGAGGCCCACGATTCGCTCACCCTCGGAGGCCGGTGCGGGCCCGGACGTACCGGGCACCGCGGCACCTACGCTGCGCGTCCGTCCCACTACACTGCTACCCTGAGCAGTGGCACAGACCTAAGGGCGCAGTGCGGACACCCCGGCCGCTGGGGGGCAGTTTCCACCTCGTTTTGCACCGCGGAAGGGAGGAGGGCTTAGACAAGACCACTCCCCGCCCACCTGGTGCCAATTAGTTACCAGGCGACGGAGCTTCCCCGCGCCGCGCCGGCCTGGCTCACGGCACACTCGAGCGCCAGCACTTCGGCTCGTTAGGGTGGGCCGGGGCCGCCAGTTCGGCGCTCCCCAGAGACCCGACTGCCCCCCACCGGGTCCCTCCAGAACGTGGGACACACTCGGGGACGCTGAGGAGAGCCTGGGCACGCAGCTCTGCTTACTCCTGTTTTACCGTATTTGTGGACTGTAAGGCGCACTTTTTCTCCCAAATTTGGGGGGAAAGGGGGGCTGCATCTTACAGTCTGAATGTAGCTTACCTGGCTCGCTTTGGGTGGGGGGCGGCAGTGGTGCAGTGGGGTGGGGGGTCACAGGTTATTAAATATTTTACATTTTTTGCTTCAAAAATTTCCCCCCTAGTTTCCTCCTCTAAAACCTAGGTGCGTCTTATGGTCCGGTGCATCTTATAGTCGTAAAAGTACGGTAACTCCTTTCAGCTGCAGATGTTGTTTGGCCTGAGCTGGTGAAGTGTAACTCGCAGGAACCCTGTGTGTGTCCCCCGCCCCCCCAGCAGACCAGCGTTCCCTGGGAACCGAGCCCAGCCCGAGGCGGTGACCTCCGGGAGGCTGCCTCTGCAGACCGGCTCCCCCTTAGCTCCCCAGCACCAGGCACACCGGCCTTCGGGGGGTTGTTGGTATCTCCAGGGGAGCACAGTCCTGGTCCTCCCCTGTGCGCTCCCCCGCTTATCTCACGGAATGTTAAGCCAGACCACCAAGGTCAAGTTAAAGCCTTGGGATCGGGCATCCGCTGTAGTGATGGCTGCGGTGCGAGGGTGCATCGGCTTTCTCAGGTCTAAGTTCAGTGACTTTCCACAAGGTTCCCGCGACCACACTAGCCATGGCCTGCATGACGGCCCCCAGAGGCCCCCCCCACCCCCCACTTTCACACCCCCGAGGCTTGGGGTCCCGCCGGGCAGGCCAGGGCCCTCTCTGAGTGCCGTCGGAAAGGGACTGCTCTAACGCACGCGCACTCCAATCCCAGGAGGTGCACTCTGTCACGTGCTTCTGCTGAGCGCGCACCCTGAAAACTCCTGGCTCCGGAGACGCGGGCGGGGACCAAGCCGCGGGCACAAGTGGAACTGGGGGCGGGAAGACCTGAGCTTCCGCCCCAAACCTCCCCTCTCACCACCGAGGGCAGAGGCCTGGAAGGACCAGCAGCCTGCCCGACCGGTGAACAGGGACTGGGGCTCCCCAGGAACGTCCGTGGCTCTTCCTCCACCTCCTTTTAATTATAAAAGGAGTTGCTCATCCTTTCATAATTAAATTCTTTGCTCAAAATGCCCCTCCGTGGCCTGCTAACCCAAGGCAACTCGCCTGTGCGCTGGAAGAGCTCACGTGCTCCGCGCCTGGCCTGCGGGCGGGGGCCGGCCGCACTCATTCGGAAGGGGCTAACGGTGTCCGCGGGGCCTCCCCGAAGAGAGCTGCAACTGCGCAGTGTGCGAACTGTCCTTTATTATTTCTCAGGAACCAGCAGAACCCGTAAGCAACTCCAGGCCACTGCACGGCAGACGTCCCTCCTCCTCGGACGACATTCAGCCGCGACCTGGATTTGCCTCGAAGGCACAGAAAGTTTGTACCTGATGACTGGGGTGTAAGAAAGAAGTCTGATTCTATAACCCTAAACGGGGGGCAGGAGGGCCGAGTGCAGTCCTCGGCAGTGCAACAGACACAAGTGTCGCCTACAATTGAAAGAGGCACAATTAGTTCTTTTTTTTTGTTTTTTTTTCTGCAAACTTAGATCCTAACTATATTATTCAACGTCAATGCTTAGAAAGGGGTAGGCCCTGCAGAGGGAGACGTGTTCAGGGACCGGGGCCAGCCAGGCACCCCGCCATCCTTCGCTGTGCAGCCCGCACCCCCGGCAGAGTTGGGACCGGGTCAGCCACCAGGGGGCACGACAGTGGCGTCTGCGCAGTGGTGTGAAGAGGCGAGCATGGCAACAGATTCTTTTACTTGCACTGAAGAGCCCTGCAGACGCCCAGAGAGGGGGCCCTCCTCTGACCTGGCGCCCCTGCGGGGGGGGGGGGGGGTGACACCACGAACGCCCTCGGCCCCAGGGCTGCAGGCGCAGCAGTCCCTCAGGGACCATGCCATCCCCAGGAAAGTCCGCGTGAGCGCGGCTGCAGGGAGGACGGCTGGAATGGAGGTGGTGCCAGGGCGCTCTGCATCCCTGGGCAAGGCCAGCCCCCCGCGCACCTCCCTGAGGCCGAGCCCACCGGAAGGACATTACAGAGTTAGAACTTGGTCTGCAGTGAACTCCTCTCCGACACTGAAAGACTTTCAGACTCTGTTCAGGAGGGTGCCTGTGACCGCTCCCTAAGGGGCAGAACGACAAGGGCACACGGTTAAGGCCAGTGATCCATTAGCCGGGTCTCCCTCGTGACCACCTGCACGCCTCCTGCGCGCCAGACGCACGCGAGAGCCCGAGTGACCCCGTGCTGGTGCGCACGGCCGGAGGCCCGGTCTCCGCCGCAGCTCCGGGGCCAGGGCCACCGCGGAGCTAGTCGTCCACGGTGATGTTCCGGAAGAGGTACGCCATGGACTCCCCGTTGTGGATTCTGCGGATCGCCTCAGAGAGAATCAGGCTGATGTCCACCGTCTTTATCTTGGGGCACTGCAGCTTCTGCACCTCGTGGGGGACGGTGTTGGTCACCACCACCTAGGCACGGCAGCGAGGGAAAACACACAGTTGCTGGCATGTCCCGCGTGGTCACTCGGGAAAGTTTTCCCAACGCCCAGCGCCACAGCCCAAGTCCCACCCCGCCGACCCTCACTCCACCGAGTGCGGTTTTCACAAACGAAACTCAGCCGACTGCACACGAGGGAAAGGTTTCGTCCCCCACCCCCCGCAGGGCCCCCGCAGGGCGGGGGGGGGGGCGGGTGAGAGGGGGCCTCTGCGCAGGAGCCCCGTGTGGTCGGGGAAGACGTCCAGTCCTGAGAGCAGTGCTGCCGCAGCGTCGGGTCGCATGGAAAGACACGTTCCCCTGGGGCACACGAGGCAGACCCCACGGAGAGAGACACGCACTCCCCAACCCGTCTCCCCCACGCACGCCGGCCACGCGGGCGCTCTGCAGAGGGGCTGTGGGCCAACGAGCCCCCCCCACCCCCCAGAGGAGCAGCGTGCGGACGGACCTCGTCGATGGAGGACTCCTCGATGAGGCGGGGGGCCTCTGCAGACAGGATGCCGTGAGTGGCCATGACGTAGATCTTGTAAGCGCCCCTCTCCTTCAGGATCTCCGCGGCGGCCACGAAACTCTCCACGTCGTCGATGATGTCGTCCTGAGGAGACCAGCGTGGCTGTGAGGGAGCCGCCCCCACCCACCGGCCCTCCTGCGTGCCCCGCTCTCAGAGGACAGCTGGCCACCACCCGGCTGCCTGCGGGCCAAGGGCCGCGCCCCTGGCGATGGCGGCAGAGCTACGAAGCCCTGCAGCCGCGTGACATTTGCGGCCAGAGCTTGCGACAGCCGGGCTCGCCTCCCGTGTTGAGCTCCAGGCTGCTCCCAAACAGCCGGGGCCCCGCTCACTTTTTCGAAGAGAAAGGTAAGCGACGGGAGCAGAGCATGACCGACAGCCTCTCCGAAGGACAGCCCTCCGGCCCAGCAAGGCCGTCCGGGCCGGGCGCACCCGTTGCATTGAAACAGGAGAACAGGGCTTGGGGGCTCGTCGGCGGGAACGGTGCAGCCCCGCTGGGGCGGCTGGTGGACCGGCTGGCGTGCTGGGCCCACCACCCCCAGACCAAGGCCCCCCTCGGGCTGCACTTCCGCAGGGCACTGCGTGCTCGCTGCACGCCTGCCGGCTGTGACAGGCCCCGCTCGCCTCTGTCAAGTCTCTGCCTGTCCCTCGGGGCTGGGGGAGGAAGGGCGGACAGGTCCATGTACAGCTGCCACGGTCACGGGGCGTGCAGCGGGGAGGACAGGCGCCCGAGAGCCAGAGGGGCCGCCTCTGCCCGGGCGGGAAGACGCGCGGCCGTACCACTATGATCGCGATGCTCCCGCCGACGTCCCCGACCACCGTGATGGGCGGCTTCTCCTTGGCCATCATCACTAGCAAAACAAAACCCGAGACAGGACCCCGTCAGCGGGGCACCACGGAGTCGAGGGGACCACCGGCCGCCTCGCCCTCTGCGGGGGTGGCAAGCCCGGCAGACGGACAAGAGGCAGCAGACCCCTCAGGGAGCCCAGGGCTGACACACTGAGCACGCCGCCCCACAGGAACGAGGGTGACACGCATGTCACTGTGCATTTTCCAGTGACCACATCAAAAAGTAGAAACACACTGGGAGAATGAATAGGTTTTACTTTACCCAACAGGTCCAAATATTACGGCTATTTTTCTGTGTATAATGTGCTCCTGTATATAATGCACGCCCACATTTTTGGCCCAAACTTTCAGGAAAAAAATCTTTTGTTATAATTTTTTAATTCAGTTATTTATTTATATTTAGATACTTGCTTTTTTGTATTATAAAGGAATTTTAGCATTCATTTATTTTTAAAGATTTTATTTATTTATTTTTAGAGAGGGAAGGGAGGGAGAAAGAGAGAGAGAGACACATCAATGTGCGGTTGCTGGGGGCCGTGGCCTGCAACCCAGGCATGTGCCCTGACTGGGAATCGAACCTGCGACACTTTCATTCGCAGCCCACACTCAATCCACTGAGCTATGCCAGCCAGGAGCATTTATTTTTTAACATATTGTCATACAAGAAATTCTATGTAACAGTCACAAAACACAAGAGCAGGCACGAGGTATTTCCAGCACTACCTGTGTATAAGGTAAAGTACGTCCTTATTTTTCTCTCAAAAGTTTGGGCCAACCAGGGTGCATTATACATGGCAAAATACGGTGTTTGCATATGCAGTCACCATGCAGACGTGCTACAAGGTTTCACGTGGTTCTCACGCCGCGTCTGCGGTGTCTGGAGCGCAACCACGCACGCAGCCCTTCTTAGTTGGGACCAGCCACGCTCCTCGAGCGCGGCAACGGCCGTGCGTGGCCGGCAGCCGGCAGTGTGTCACCGCCAGCACGGGTGCGGGGAAGGAGCAGCCAGGAAGCGCCCTTGGACACGAGCGCGGACGCGGCCCTGCCCGGCCGCTCCACACACACACACACACACACACACACACACACACACACACACACACACACACACACACGTCCGACTCTGAGGACCGGGCGGAAAAGCGGCGCCACTGGGCGGAGACTCGCACGGGGCGGGGCCGCGGGCGGGCGGAGAGCCGGCGCTGGCGCCCTTCCAGAGTGACCTCGGCTGGACAATGCAACCTGATTACCAGACCACGACGCCATGGACATAATCAGAGCTTCCTGAAAACACGGAGCCCGAAAACAATGACCACGAGTGCACCGTCGTTTCCTGCTTCAATCGCTCCTCCAAGACGCGGCTTCTTATCTCACCGCGGGCCGCTCTGGGGAAGGCCCACGGCGCCCAACCAGCCCACGGCTCGGGGGAGGGAAACGAGGGCGCACCCGCAAACGGAGGGTGCAAACCGAGATGAGAAAGCAGACTTTGGAAGAGTAGGCTGAGTATCCCACGTTTTTGGAAAGCCTTTAAATTATTTTTTAAGATTTTATTTACTTATTTTCAGAGAGGGGGAAGGAAGGGGGAAAGGGAGGAAAAGAAACATCCGATGGTTGCCTCTCACACACGCCGGAACTGAGGACCCAGCCCACAACCAGGGCACGTGCCCTGACTGGGGATCGAACTGGTGACTCTTCAGTTCCCAGGCTGGGACTCAACCACTGAGCCACACCAGCCGGGGCACTTCCGTCAGCTTAAGATGAGAAACAGGCACAACCAGGACTGAGGTTGACCAAGGCTTTTAAAATCAAGCCCTGCTCCCCATAGGCTCACTCCCCGCTCCTAACTGCCTAAAACTGAGCACATCACTTGACGGCTACTAAAACACACAGACAGACTTTACTATAGGGGCAACAGAAAAAAACAGCACCTGACAGGCTAAAAAAATGCCAAAAATTTTCCAGTGGAGCTTGACCAGAAAAAAAAAATGCCAAATTTAAAATTTTCAGTGAAAGTAATATATGTTTTTTCTTTTTTAAAAGATTTTATTTATTTTTAGAGAGAGGGGAAGGGAGGGAGAAAGAGAGAGAGAAACATCAACGTGTGGTTGCCTCTCACACGCCCCCTACTGGCGACCTGGCCCACGACCCAGGCCTGTGCCCTGACTGGGTATTACACTGGCGACCCTTTGGTTCACAGGACTGCACTCAATCCACTGAGCCGCACCCGCCGGGGCGGAGCGAGTAACGTACATTTTGAAGGTCAGGGATACGGGATGCTTACACTACCTTATGTTTAAGATTCTATTCTCCTCCATTTTATCAAACAAAACCCAATCTGTTTAAGAATAAATGAATTGTGTATCATTTACTTGTGGCCAGAAATCACTGTTAAAACTACATCAACTTATTGCAGTAAAAATGTTAATGTAGCGAATATTTTCCAATGTTCCTATGAAAGAAGAAGAAAACATGGTTTGCTTTTAAGGTTAGCATTTCCAAGTAAAATAATGCTGTATTTATAACCATCCTTAGATCTTACACACACACAAACACACACTTTCCACTCTTTTCCCAACTAACCAAACCCTTTTCTCCTAAAATAAAGAACAAAACAGGAATATTCATTCCTTATCCGTTTTAATCTTGGTCTCTTGCCAGTTCAACGGAATGTGAAACTCACTGTCCGACTGACATTAAAAAGGGATGAGAAATAAGGTAAGTCTCCAGTAGAACTGGAACTGAAAGTATCCTCAAGCGCATAATTCTACATGCAAACAAGTCAGAATTCACATTTAACAGACGCTCACGGGCAGCGAATGTCTGTCTCACTTTCACGATGAGAAGCGCCCTTCAACCCTTCAATATAAAGCTACCGAGCCGGGAAAATCCAGCCAGAAAAGGTGACTTCCCGCCCTCTCCGTGGCCAAACAGTCGCCACCACAGCAGCGACCCCGAGCACAGTGCGGGGACCACCGACGCCCACCCTTGCAGGTCCGTCCGAGGCCTGGCCGTAGGGGAGGCCCGGCTCCACCTCATCAAACAGGAGCACCCGCCCAGCTTCACATTTAATCAGTCACTCTGAAAAGGCCTCCCCACCTCAGCACCACCGACGTTCTGGACCGGACAGCTGTCCATTAGGATGCTCACAGGGGGCCAGCAGCACCGCAGCACCCCCACCCCGGGGCTGAGGCAGCCAGAAATCTCTCCAGATGCTGGCGAACCCCCGAGCGCCAGAGCCGCCCTCGGCTGGGTGCCAGGGCTGCTGCGGAAGACTGGGCTCTAGGAAGACACACGGTTCATCCTCCTAAAAGACGCAAAGACTCCAAGGGCGAGGATTTGCATTCCTTTGGCTTTTTCCTGACACCTAACGCCTTCATCTCCATGACTATAAAACTACCGAAACATTAATAAATAAATACGAAACATATCTAATTTAGAAGGTTCAATTACACCTACAAGAAATACCATTTCTTCAGAGTGCTCTTGACTAAATCTCTAAAAGGGAACCACAGAAAAATGACCCACGGCAGCTCCAACACGCGGACGCGCACCAGCGCCGCGCTGCACCAGCGTCCGGGCGCTGGAGGGGTCGGCAGGAAAGGGGCGGCAGCAAAGGGGCGGCGTGCTCGGAACACAGCAGCTGGTGGCGGTGGTGGCGGCCGGGGCGGGCCTGGCAGACTCCCACAGGCTTCAGAGGGCCCCGCGGGGCAGGTCAGTGGTCGGAGCGTGCATACCGATTTCAGCTCCCAACAAGCAAAAGTGTTGTTTCTGTATTTTAACTGGGCCTTTTTCTTTAATTCAAACCAAGGAGAACTCCTCAGATTTGTTTTAGAGACTAAGAAAATAAAATATTTTCTTAGATGAATGAAAGTTATACTGATGTTTTAATTGGATGCTGTTTGGGAAGGATTATCAGATCAAAATTCTATCAAGTATTAATGTGCTTATGGTTGTTCTGGGTACTACTAAAAATAAATGATACACTAGTTCACATGTAAAGAAAATAACTATACAGTATTGCTTTAAAATATAATGTCAGTGGAATTTATAAGCCGAACTTGAGTTTTGATTTTGTGTAACTCATTATAAAAGGTATTTTGTTTAGATCTTGAAAAAAAAAAAAAACCCACCTCTGACCCAATAATTTTACTTCCTGGAATTTATGCTATAAATATATTCAGCCGCTTACAAAAGAACGTGAGTCAAGGTTAGAGGCGGTCCAGCGGGGGGACCGGGTGCACACGTCAAAGGAACACTGGAGACAGTTTACAGGTTCTCTTTGGCCGCGTCTGAGACAATCTGAGCATTAAAATAAGAAGTAGCAATGGATCAGATCAGAACACACTGAACAAGACAAGATTCTGAGAACCCACACTGACACGAATGAGAGAACCAGAGGGGAAGAGGGAATTAGAAAAACCACCATTTGACATCCATCGCAGTGAGAAATGATTCCACCTAATCACAAGGAAACAAACATGCCCCAATTATGGAATATTCTACAAAAAATAAAACTAGCTTGTACCCTTAAAAATATCAAGGATCAGCCCTGGCTGGTGTGGCTGGACTGCAAACCAAAGGGTCGCCAGTTCGATTCCCAGTCAGGGCACATGCCTGGGTTGCGGGCCAGGTCTCCAGGAGGGAGTGTGTGAGAGGCAACCGCACAGTGATGTTTCTCTCCTTCTCTTTCTCCCTCCCCCATCTCTAAAAATAAATAAATAAAAAGGATCAAGGATCAAGGTTGTAAGAGACACAGAACCAAGAAGCCATTCCAGCTGAAATGAGACTAAGGAGAAATGACCACTGAGTGTTATCTCAGACTGGACTCTAGCCCAGAAACAAACTTTGTCCTGTCGCTCTGAAGGACACTGGCTGGACGACCGGTGAAACACGAGTGAGGGCTGAAGAGTGGGCAACAGCGTTACAGCAATGTTAGTTTCCTGCCTCTGATCATCAGAAACAGTGAGAGCGTTCACCCCTCAGGCAGGAGGCTGTGTGAGGTGCCACATTCTCCTCTCTTCCCACCTGCTGGTGTCTGTACGTTTCTAAGGCACGGCAAAGAGAGACACATTTTTAAAAGAAATAAGCTCTGAAAGGTATATGATATATCTTCCAGGACAGAATGCACTCAAAAATTCCTTGGGAATCAACAGCCTCCCCACTGCCGGGTTGACTGCAGGTCTGGTGTTAGGTCGAACAGCCGTGTTGCTAACCCCGTGCACACAGCTGCCCAGTCAGCAGAGCCTGGTTTTGATCAACAGTGGTATCACCCAATGTAACAGCTTACGATTTCACGACATCACACACACACACGTTCCCACTAAAGCTAAAAGCACCTCACACTCCCCGAATGCTAAGTGCTACCCAGAGAAGGGCAAACGGCCTCAGAGGCTGCAAACGCACACCCCACCGCCTCCTTCCACGGGGGCGGGACCGACACAGCACCCGCAGGTGCTCGGACACCGCACACACACCGTTCGTGTTACTCGGGACTCTCTTCCGTTTACAAATGAAGGGAACAACAGAGCGACTCTTACGTGGCAGCTCCAGGCCGGGGTGCACAGTGGCGTTTTTGACCATCGGGGGCGAGTGGCGGCCGTCGTCCATGTCCAGCTCCGCACACTGAGCCTCCCCGTGGATGACGGCCAAGCCCAGGCGGAGCCGCTCGGCGTACGACTGGGCCCTGCGAGAAAGGCGGAGGGACACGGTGGGATTCAAGGGAGGAACAGCCACGCGTCACGATCCCATCATTTTACTAATCACAAAGTGGACACGCCATTCGACCGCTCAGGGGCACGCAGGGGGATCATTCACGCACAACGGACCGTGGGGCGCGGGCCAGCGCGTCAATGCCTCCGGTAGCGCACAGCGGAGGCGCGGGCGAGCACCAGCACCGACTGCGGATAATCTCGGTGCTACCCTCCGCCCGGCGCCCTAACACCCAGCTTCAGAAGAGGGAAGTCTGCTGGAAAAGGGCTCCCAGCCCTCCTGTCGCCCTCGCCCTGGGGCACCGAGGGGACAACAGCGCTCCCTCCCAGCAGGACACTGAGCGGCTCAGACCGCCGCCTGCAGCTGGAGACCAGGCGAGGCGACGCTGCGGTGCGGGGCAGGAGGAGGGCCCGGGAAAGCGCGGCCCGTGAGCCGCCCGAGGGATGCCAGGCCCCGGACCCCACACAGCTCGTTCTGACTTCGGGGGGTGCCCGCAGGGGACTGCTGTGAGTGTCTGCATGGTTTACCTTTTTGCAGCATCAGGAGACTTAGCCACAATGACTGCGTTTCTGTAGTTTGGGATCTAGATTTGAAGGAAAAATAAGAAAACGCTGAAAAATTATGCCTGGATGCTAGTATCACATTTTTTCCTCTTGCAATGCCTATCTATACTAGCAGTTACACGTGCTGGAATTTCACTCACACATTGCAAAAGTACTGTTACATCAAAAACATAAAAAGTGACTAAAAACCTTAACTTTAGAATAAACACAAGCAAATCGCTACGAATGCACAGAGGGCGCCTGATTCAGTGTCTCTGAGACGGGCGGCCCTGCCTGGCTGCCTCGGCACCCGGCCCGAGGGGCCAGACCTCTGGCGTGCCCTCAGTGGCGGAGTCGGACACCACAGAAAACTGCGCAGGGTGGTTCTGAGGACAAGGGGGGGGGGGTGCTGGCGGCTCCTCACTTCTTCCTGGATATACTGAAGCAGGAAAGGGGAGGCTCTGAGGTTGTCCACAGGAAAGCTGAAAAAGCCTTGAATTTCCTTTTGATGGAGATCCATAGTGATAATGTGAGTTAAACCTGAAATTTTAAAACAGAGAATTACAAGTTCACCCCTGCAAGGTAAGGGCCACAGGGGACAGACCAGACTCCCAACTCCTGCTTCCTCACGAGAGACCGAGGCTGGGGGTGAGGTCGCCCAGCACATCAGTTCCAGACTTCACCTTTAGCCTCGACAGAGCTTACTGAGCTCAAGCACGCGGCCAACCTAACGCAAAGGGGCCTGCGGCCTCCCACGCGGACAGAGACCCGAAGCCGAGAAAAGTGCTCTCCTCCGCTACAATCCCTAGCTTAGGCCTCAAAATCAAGAAAAGAAAATTCAGATCGAAGCAAAAATATGAGGATGGCATTAATAAATACTGAAGCAAAAATCGATGTAAAATATAGTAAGGTCTTGATTAAAAGATTTCGGAAGAAATGTTAAAAGCCTGTGGCTAAGGCTGAAGGAATAAGAATGCAAAAGCGAAGTAATGTACACAGAGGAAAAAAGAAAGTCACGTAACACAAAGATCAGATGCGGCAGGGTTTGGAACAATTTCTGCACGTTGTAAAAGGCTGGGTCAAGAAATATCTTCATGGAAAAACAACGAAGACAGACTGATACAATCACCAGGGCTAAACCAAGACCATGCACGTTTCTGAGGACGCAACTACGTCAGTGATGTTTTGTTTTGTTTTGGGGTTTGTTTTTTTTTTTGGGGGGGGGAGGATTAGAGTTTTAAATAACTGTCAGGCAAATGTAACTCCAGTAACCGGGCAGAGTTACTGCACGTGACCCGCAGGCCAGAGAGTGTGTGGCGACTGCACACGCACAGAACAGAGGCAGCGAGCGCGGCTGCTCCGCGGCCGGGTGGCCGGGAGGCGCGAGCGCGCGTGGGCCGAGGAGCAGGCGCGGGAGAACCCAGTCTGCAGCGTCTGCGCACACAGGACACGGTGAGCGAAGGCCAACACCTAACTCTAGGCCCGACACTGGAAAGGTCGCACCCCACCGCCAGGACGGCCAGGACCGCCAGGCGACACGGGCCGACGCGGAGATGGAGCGCGAGGGAAGCGAACGGGACGACGACGAGGGCCGAGGCTGGAGCGGAGCAGAAAGCACGGAGGCCGAGAAGGTCCCTCTGAGGCGGAGAGAAGAGCGCCAGGCGAGAAGGTACACCTGGGCCCCCGCACCCCTAGCCAGCGCCGCGCGGAAGGACACGAGAGAACGCCGCCAGCGAACGGCGGCTCAGAGACGAGAGGCCCCCCCCCAGCAGACAGACAGACAGACAGACAGACAGATGGGTGTGGGCTCATCTCGGGCGGGCAGAGCCCGGAGGCCTGCACTCACCCGCTTTGGCCAGCATGGACGCCAGCAGCTTGCACACGATGGAGCCCCGCTTCCGCATCTTGCTCTGCTTGCTGTAGGGGAAGTAGGGGATGACGCCGATGATGTTCCTGGCACAGGCCGTCTTCAGCGCGTAGGCCATGATCAGCAACTCCATCACCGCCGTGTTCACGTCTCTGGACGGGCAAAGTGCGCGGTCAGCGGTCAGCGTCGCTCGCCAGCCCCCCGAGAAGGTCTCGACTGCCGCCTTCTCCCGGGGGCCGCCCAAGTCAGACGGGGGCCGCCCAGGTCAGACGGGTGGGTGCTGGTGGCCCTCCGGGGTGTGGGGGAAGCGGATTAACTCCTTGTGAGCTACGTGAACGCAGGTTTTCACCCGTGGTCCCTTAAACCCTCAGCTTGGTTACCCACTGTCACCTTTGCCTGGGCGTTCAGGTTAGCGACACAGTCACCGCGGTGGTGCGTGAAGCAGACATCAGCTGCTGGAGACCAGAGTCAGCCAGCACCTGCAGCCCCACCCCCGGGGGTCTGGGCGCAGGCCAGCAGGCCGGCCCCTTGTCCCCTGTGGATGCCCAGGGGAGCCCACCTGCCCTTCTCTTTCGCCGTTCATCACAACTGAGTGAGGTTTACATGCCCCGGCTGGTGTGGCTCAGTGGTTTGAGTGCCAGCCTGAGAACCAGAAGGTTGCTGGTTTGAGTCCCAGTCAGGGCACATGCCTGGGTCCCCAGTAGGGGGTGTGTAAGGGGCAACCACACATTAATGTCTCTCTTCCTCCCTTTCTTCCCCTTTCTCTAAAAATAAATAAATAAATAAAATCTTTTTGAAAAGGGAGGCTTACAACTTTTTTTATGCATTTGAAATTGAGGAGGGACGATAAGGAAGGTTACCAGAAAGGGTTTGGTATCTTTCTTCTTTTGGGGGTGAAGGGTAGGGCAGGGAATGGGAAGGTCTTAGACCTTGAACTTCCCCATCCCTTCTCGCCTTTCACTACACCGATTCCTAGCAAAGGTCGCCCAGGTGGACACGGAAGGAAACATGGATCTGAAAGACGTCCAGAGAAAAGGCCATTTCCAATGTCAAGGAGTAAGGATCGCTACCCTTTGCAAAGCTGACCGAGCCTAAGGTGGGCTCTGTCCTCCGAGAAGACGCCCCCCTTCTGTGTCAGGCGCGCACCCCCCGGGCCCCCTCCCCAGAGAGGCCTCTCTGATGTCACCCTTCCTCGGAAACAAACAGGGCACTCTCCGCCTCGCACTGCCGGCGTGAGCGACGTCCAAACCTGTGGGGAATTTCTGTAAATTGACTTGAGCCAATCCAGAGACAACTGCCAGCAGCAAGATTTCAAATGTTCTGGAGGATAATACTGCAGCTTCTTTTGTGCATTTGACATTAAGGAGGGAAGTAAGGAAGACTCTAGGGGGGTGGGAGGAAAGCAGGCTGGGACCAGGTTAGAGGGCTGACCAGGTTTTACTTCGGCACCTCAAAGGCGGCCGCCTGGACGCACAAGAACAATGGGGAGGGCTGGCTCAAAACCCTTCCCGAAGGCCTTCACGGGCCTGGGGCGCGACCGCCCCCCTGACCTGCTGCTCAGGACTCACGACTCAGTACCGCAGGCGCCCTCTCACCGTCCATCACACTCCCAAAGCAGCAACATCCCAAGTCAGGCAAAATACGGTCAGAGGACACGCAACCTTTCTCTGTAATCGGGGCTTTCAAAGCACTGAGGAATTCGTGACATTTGCTCGAATTTAGGTCATCCGTCCATTCAACAAAGACCTGCTGAGCGACCTGGGCCGGGCACCGCAGCAGGCGGGCGGGGGGGACCAAGTGGCCCCCAAGGCCGGCCACAACCTGGGGGAACGCCAGAGACCACACTGGGTCACTCCGGGGGTAGTCTCTGGCCCGAGAAGGAATGCAGCTGACTCGTGTGAGAAGTCCCCTCACCAAACACTTGTGCACCCCCCCTGCCCTCCCCGTCCCGCATCAGGCCACCTAAAGGGACGCGCCGTGGGTTCTGGGCGTTAAGCAGGAAGCCTGCACAGCATGCGCAGGGCAGTAGGAAGCAACTCCACACCCAGACTAAGCACCAGACATCACTTACACCGCAGCAAGGGCCCCCGTCCACACAGACTGCCTGTCGGCGTCGGAAGTGCACTGGGCGCCTTCTCAGCCCCCGCCATGGGAGGCTGTGCAGCCCTGGAAAATCTCCCTGGTCTTGGTTTCTTCCCAGACCCCAGTGCCAACACTGCGTCCGGGGCTGGAGCTGACGCGGCCGGTCCCGGAAGCCCCCCTGTGCAGGCAGTGGGTGTCAGCTGGCTTTGTGCCGGCACGTACGACACGCAGCCGCAGCACAAGGAGGCTAGGAGAGCACACCACGAGGGCGGCCCGGGCAGCAGGAGGGTGACGCCACGGAAAGACCACCTCTGGAGGCGCCCTGGTTTCAGAGGCCCTTTCCTTCCATTGATCACTAGTCTGGCCCCCGAGGTTCCCAGTCCCCTCTTGTTCCTCTCCCTGAACACCTGTGCCAAGCGGTCAGCAGCACCCTGCGGCCCGAGGCGAAGGAAGGCTTCCACGCCCCTCTCCTCACTGGACTCCACCAAAGGGCCCCTGTCACGCTGGCTTCCCCACTCACGGAGGGGCGCGGCACCAACGGGACCCCAGGCCCTTGCGCTGCGGGCCGGCGGCCCTGCTTTCTCTGCTCCCTAGGACTGGTCCAAGTGCACCCGGGCTAACCCTTGTGGTCTTTGCATCTGGGTAGGACACTCTTAATGCTTACCAATTAAACGTTTTCCCTTTCTGTAAGAGAACGATATCCTGTATTAAACTTGGCCCCTTTGATGGGCAAACAGGAGTGAGCGGCGAGGAAACAGACACAGTTCACGCACATCAGTGGGACTGCCCGGGACGGCCCCCCGACCAGCCCCACCGGCGGCACTGAGACCCGCCGACGGGCTGGGGCTCACCCCGCCCCACCTCCCACAACGAACCATCTGCAGCAAAGAAGCAGTCAATGGCTCTGGCTGGTGTGGCTCAGTGGCTTGAGTGTCAGCCTGAGAACCAAAGGGTCGCCAGTTCCATTCCCAGTCAGGGCACAGGCCTGGGTTGGGGGCCAGGTCCCCGGTGGGGGCGACGTGAGAGGCAACCACACACTGATGTTTCTCTCCCTTTCTTTCTCCCTCCCTTCCATTGTCTAAAAATACATTTTTAAAAAATCTAAAAAAAAAAAAAGCGGTCAATGTTCTTTTTGTTCTTTTAGCAAGTCTCCTTACCACCACATACCAGAACTTGTAACATAAACATAAAAGTCGTCCTTGAAAAGTTACTTTGTAACTTTCCTATCTCCATTACTTAAAACCTCAGTACCACAGCGCGACATTGTGATTTACAGCAAGAAATACATGTTTGGTCTTCCCATTTCTGGCAGAGAATCCCCAAACCACTGGAACTTCCTAAGCGGTAAGAACAGTAAAGATGCTTCTGGACGTTAACGAGGCGACTCTGGACTGTGCCTGCCGGCGGGGGCTGGTGGCCGGGAAGATAAACCGAGTGTGATGAGAGGCTGGAACCTTCAACCCCCCCCCACCCGGCCTCCCAGGAGTGGACTTGAAAATCGGCACAGGCCAATCTGATCAACCGTGCCTCTGCAATGAGGCTCCCGTGAAAACCCACGGCGGGGGGGAACGTGGGGAGGCTGGGGCTGGAGAACACACAGAGAGGTGGGGCGAGGGGCGCCCTCGGAGGGTGCGGAGGCTCCGGCCCCTCTCCCACACACCTAGTCCCGTGCGTCCCTTCCATTGGGCTGCCGCTGCGTTATACTGTGAAACCCTCTGACAAATTAACGGAACCAAAGCAGGGGTCTCTGGAACCTCCAGTCAGTCAGTCACTGAGTTGGAGGGTCAGAAGCGAGGTGACCACCTGGACTTGTGATCGCTGTTTGGGGGGTCTGCTAGGATGGAGCCCTAACCTGTGGGATCCGAGGCTGTCTCCAGGCAGACAGGGTCCAAACTGAGCTGGGTGTGTCAGAGAACCGCCTGGCACTGGGGGGAAGAGCACCCCCACCCACGGGAGGGGGTGCAGAAACAGACAAACGTTTCAATGACTCGACCTCGTCACATCCAGCATGGCTGTTTGCTCTTTCCAAACACTAGTCCATCCCCAGCAAGCACAAGTCTCCCGCTGCTGGACGGGCCAAAAGAAATACGCCGCCCGTCCCGAAGGCGGTTCCGGGGGACGAACCCCGAGCTGTCTGAGCGACACGGGGCCGGAGCGGGCTGCGCAGCAGGCTGTGATGGAGCCTGGCAGGGAGGGCCGAGAACCACGACCGCGTCCTGAACCCCCGCCCGCACTGCTGCCGCCCAGCAGACGTCTGACTTCGGACTGAGAATGAAGAACGTTCGTTAGAGTCAGCACCGCCCCGTACAGCTGAAAAACAACTCGGCTCACGCACACCTGTCGAAATCCCGTCCTTGACTCACTCACACCAACAGGAAACCCCTTCCTTCTCTCCGTGTGCCCACCCCTCCCTGCCCCACGGACGCCCTGCCCGCAGCCCCCAGTCGGAGCGCCGCCCGGGTTTCTGCCTGGGCCGGTGCCTCCCGGGCGGCTCTTCTCTCGGACCACAGGTGAATGCCAGCTGCCTCTCGCTCCGGCCTTTCTGTGTTTAGGTGAACACAATAAAGATCTGACGCACCTGAACTGAGCAGTGTTCGACCAATGGGCTGAAGTGCCCAAGTTTTGAAAGCCGAGCCAAGGCTGAGGAAGGCTACAGCGGCCCGACCACCCCGTGCTCCCGGCGCTACGGAGAGCGCGTGGCACGCAGACAATCGTGCACGGGGCCTGCCGGCTGCCGTGGCTCAGCGGGCTGGGCATCGTCCCGCCAGGCAAAGGGTCACCAGCTCGGTTCCCGGTCAGGGCTCATGCCTGGGCTGTGGGCCGGGTCCCCAGTTGGGGGGCGTACAAGAGGCAGCCAACTGATGTTTCCCTCCCTTCCTCTCTCTAAAAATAAATAAATAAAATGTATGTTAAAAAAGCCCACCTGTGTGACCTCAGTCTGAGGGCCGGACGGCAGTCCCAGAGGAGTGCGGGCACACGCCCTGAGGGCTGTGCGGGGCGGCAGCAGGGAAGCCCCTGGCCGTGGGCCTGCGCGCTGAAGCATCTGGGGGGGTGGGGGGGTGGTGCTTCAGGCTGGAAGCTGCTCTCAGACGGCTGCACCACACTGGCAAGTTTTTTGAAAGTTTTTGATTGAGTCAAAATACGAATTTTTAAAAGACGAGGCAGCTCTTTATGTGCTAATACAGTACACTGTTTTATTTTTTAAAGCTCAGCACAGAGTATACTAGACTACTTTTATGTATAAACTAAAAAATATATATGAGCAATTGCTTGAGTATGCAGTCTCTGAAAGAACACCCAAGAAATGGATAGCAATTGCCGCCCAGGTGGGAGATGAGTGGCTAGGGTCAAAGGGCACAGGGGCGTGTCTTTATATACTCTGAAACTTGAACCATCCAGATAAATTACAATTCCTTGTATTTTGGTTTTGAGCCTCTATGTGTATACATACATAAAACACGGAGGAACAAACAACTATCTGAAGTAGTTATCTCAGGAGACTGGGGAGTGGACGAGGGCTGGGGACTTTTACTTTCCAATACACATTTCTACAGCATCTATATTGTCAGTGATGAACGCTGCGTCTATAACCAGAAAAAAGGACCCGAGGTAAAGCACGTGGGAACCACCAGCTGTCACTGCGGGGAGCTCTGTTGCACGGGGGACCACACAACTCGCCCCACGACCCGACGGCCCTCAGCCCCCTTGGGACGGCATCCCCGAGGGAGGCCGTGCGTCCGGGACACTGAGGACTCCGCCCCCACCTGTGTGTGGGCTTCTCCCCCGTCGAGGCGTTCTCCAGACCTCCGGACACCAGCTGGGTGTCCTAAAGTTCCACTCCGCTCCGACGCGACCTCCTTGGAGAACAGCATCCGCCCCCACAGGCTGCGCTGTCCCTCCAGACGGCACCCCTTCCCCACTTCGGGTGACAACCGGGCCCGGCCGTCGGCCGGGGCTGTGGCGGACCCACTATGAACCAGAGGTTCCCGTCACCCCTCCTGGGGTTACGAGTTTGCTGGAGCGGCTTCCCAGAACTCAGGGAAACCGCTTAACATGCAAACACATTTATAATTTTATGTGAAGTGAAAATGAATTACACCAAAGTACTGCTAACCCTTACCTGGGTATGGTCTGTATAATGAAAATATCTTGGCCACGAACAGATTCTTTTATTTCAACTCTTGTTTCTGAAAAATAAAAAATGACCTGTACCTTTAAGAAAAGCACCTCGTGATGCAATAATCAGGCAGTTTCTGCCCTGACTGGAGTGGCTCAGATGGCTGGCTGTCGCCCCACAAAGCTCAAGGTCGCCGGTTTGATTTCCAGTCAGGGCACAGGCCTGGGCTGCGGGTTCAGTCCCTGGTCCGCTGGGGCGCATGCGAGAGGCAGTCAGTCAATGTCTCTCCCCCACATCAAGGTTTTTCTCCCTCTCTTTCTCCCTCCCTTTAAAAGTAAAAAATAAAATACTAAAAAAAGAAAAAACCAGGCAGCATCTGAAAGGAGTCAAGATAGTCTAAACCAGCCAGCACTTCACTCAGTCCATCAAAAAACCTCTCAGTAGACCGCACAGTGACAGTCCCCCAGGAAACCCGCAGGGCAGTGGGAGCAGGGCGGCCGCCCCGGCCAGGGCCTACAGAACCCGCGAGACAAACACAGAGGCCTTTCGGGAGGCCGCCACTACCTACTACCAGATGGCTCTTGACGCCGTCTGATGACCTAACGAGAGAGAGAGAAGCAAGGAGTATTTACCAACACAGAGAAACTTTCTCTACGGTTCTCCTTTTTAATTTCCAAAATGAGGAAAGGAGCCTTTAAGGAGAACAATGAAGTAAAGCTTTACCCCTGGCTGGTGTGGCTCAGTGGACTGAGTGCTGGCCTGCAAACCAAAGGGTTGCTGGTTCGACTCCCAGTCAGGGCACACGCCTGGGTTGTGGGCCAGGTCCCCAGCAGGGGACGTGCAAGAGGCAACCACACATGGATGTTTCTCTCCCTCTTTCTCCCTCCCTTCCCCCTCTGTCTAGGAATAAATAGAATCTCAAAAAAAAGGTAAAGATTTAAAGGAAAGCATAAAATGATGACTTATATTTCTAATGTTAAAGAGAAAAGTATTTCTGTATTAAACATAATATTTGCCTTTTAAATGCACGCCAGCCAATTAAATATAGTTTAGAGAGCAAAGGATATTTAAGAAATAATTCTAACTTTACCTCCATTGGTCTCTTGATATACCACAGACTTCCCCAACTCAGCACCAAGACGCCTATGAGGGGAAAATAAAAGGCAATTAAGAGCACTCTTTCTTAAAAAACTCCAGTTCATACGCATAAATTTAACGCAAAGACTAAAATAACCAGACCGGCATTCTTTCCCAAAAAAAAAAAAAAACAATGTGCAAAGTTTAATCCATGAAGAACTAAAACTCTGTTGTCAGGCCACAGGCAGCTTCAAGTGCTCAGCATTTTGTGACGCGATGTTTTACTGGGACGAGCCCACAGCCAAAGTTTAATGTCTAGATCACTGTTTTATGAGTACTTTTCTTGGAAAATCACTCCCAAACAAGTACTTGGTTACTAGCTATTAATTCCCAAACCGTAAGCCAAAGGCAAATGCCTCAACTGTCAAAAGCACAGAGACTTCAGTACCATTGAGCGGAATCAGAGTGACCCTCACTTGGGTCCCGGCTGGACAAATCAAGTGTAAGAAGCCCTCTTTGAGACAAGCGGGAAAAGAGGAATAGGACTGACACTACATGATGCTAAGGAGTTGGTGGTGCTGTATTTTCTGTTGTTGTTTCAGTTCTTATCGGCTGGTACGACCATTCCATGAGTGAACGACGACATGATGTAAGGTTGGAATCTGTTTAAAAACACTCCAGCCAAGTGTACAATGGAACATTATTCAGCCTTAAAAAGGAATGGAATTCTGTTACATGCTACAACAGGCATGAATCTTCTTTTTTTTCTTTTTTTGGTTTACATAAGGCTTTTTTCCCCATTTTCTCATTGTTGTTCCAGTACAGTTGTCTCCATTTCCCACATGGATGGATCTTGAGGAAAGTCTTATAATAAAGAGGAGCCAGACACAGGAAGGCCGACGCCGCATGACGCTCTGCAGGCGGGATCCAGAGCAGCCGAGTTCACGGACGCAGAAAGTGCGGGGAGGGGACCAGGGGCCCGGGAGGGGCCGGGGAAGTCAGTGCCTCGTGGGCACAGAGGTGCGGTTTGGGGCGACGACGACAAGGAGCTCTGCGGACGGACGGACGGACGGACGGTGCGGTGGCTGCACAGCACTCAGAATGCAGTTAATGCCGCCGAAACGTGCCTTTCGAGTGACCGAAGTGGTAAACTTTGTCATGTGTTATCTGACATTAAATACTCCAGCCACAGAGGCGAGGGGCAGGTGGAGCCGAGGAAACAAGATGAACACAGCGCGGAAGCTGGATGAAGGGTGCGGGGACTCATCAGCGCCCCGTGTCCCTTACACACAGCCTGGGAGTGTGACTGCCCCGAACTTCTCCATTGACTCTGGCACGTCATCATGGGGGGTGAACACATGGTACATGTTCATATAATACATGGTTAATGTATTTTACTGGCACACCTGCAACCTCCGTAATTTCACTAACAAATGCCACCCCGGTAAATTCAATTAAAAGATACAAGTGCATCATAAAACAAAGTCTGCAAATCCCTGCCCGACACCGAGATCTGAACGGAACCGTGGGAATGTCATAGCCTCAGGGGCCAGTCTTGTCTAAGATCTTCAAACTCTGCTAAGTGGGACAACCGTTCTTTCAGATAAAATCTTACTGAGAAATTCAACATATGAAACAGATAAGAGAAGTAACCACAGGTATTCATTATTCAGAGCAACCTTAAACCTTTCGGGATCAAAGAGCAAAAGCCAGTGAGGTTTTCCGTGTGTCCCCCTTCCTGCTTTATCTCTGCAAGGTCAGCGTGATATAAACCTGCCCAAACAAACAGACGTGAGCTGTGCAGCTCACGCTGCTGCTTTAGCTGGCCCCAGAAAAGCCAGACAAAAAACCTGGGCTTAGAAACAGACCTAGCAGCAGACTGCAAAAGGACTGGGTTTTTTTTGTTTGTTGGTTTTTTTTTTACTCTTCTCTCTTAAAATTCTAACTGAAAAGAAAAACATTACTGAGAAAACAAGACTCAAGTTTCCCCTTTCTTCTACATTCCCGTCTAGGATTTAAAAATATAGCCACGCCTTTATCTATCTACTCCGGAAAAATCCAGAGGGACGCTAATGTAAAATTATTTAAAATGCGGAAACGACTTTAAGTGTGAAAATAGAAGCGAGGCGCCCTACGCCTCCCACCAGCCACAGGTTTGTTCCGAGGGCTCCCGGCTCTCCTCCCGGCGAGGCCAGCAGAGCAGCGGCCGTGCAGCGCGCGCCCTGAACGGGCCCGGGGGGGGGGGGGTCTCTGCCCCGCGAGATGCTCGGTGGGCATGCTTTTGTAGCTGCTCCCAATATTCTTGCCTAGTCGACAGAATCACCCCTGTTTTACAAATGCGGTTCTGAACCACCACGACCCTCGCCCAGCGTCACGGAGCTGCTAAGTGGCAAGCCCAGGGAGGCATTTCCGAGCTGTCGCCAGGCCCCTGGAGACCACGGGCGTCCTGGGGTCACACAGACACGGAAAGACATGACTTCAGACGGCTGCTGCGGCCTCAAGCCGACTTGGAAACTAGGTGCGACCCACCGTCGCCAGCACCAGCTCCGACGGCCCCGCGGGCCGGGGGCTGCCGTGCTCTCAGGGCGCCCCCCGCACCGTGGTCGCTGCCCCGTGCGCCTGGGGCGCCGCCGCCCGCCGCCCACCTAGCGCACCCGCCCCATCCGTGCTCCGCGAGGGAGCTGCACCCTGACCCCGGGCTCAGGGAGGGGGCTCGCGAACGGCGAGGGCCAGATTCCTGGGTCAACTCCAGCCGTGGGAAAGGGAGCCAGCTCACGGCCCCTCTCCAAGGCGCTCCCTGCTGGGGTCACAAGGATCCTCGCCACCGTCCGGCGCAGCGGGAGTGGGGTGACAGAGGACGAGTGGCCCTAGCAACCGGGGTGCACTGTGTTAAATTATTAGAAGTCTGCAGAACTGGGGGGGGGGGGCGGGACGCCTTCGTCCACCTCCAAAATGGCAGCATTCTGCGACCCCCTCGCCTAGGTACAAGGCGATGGGCCAAATCATCCCTCGGCCTTCCCGAGGGCATGGAGGGGAAGAGCAGCACGGACGACCGCCGGGCCGGGGTCCCTCGGGGCGTCCCCGGCCCCCGCCCCCACTCTTACTCGGTGATGCGCTTGGCCAGCTCGGTACAAGCGGCCGTGGAGTTGGCCGAGAACACTCGGTAGCCGGTGCGGGCGGCGTTCATGGCCTGGCGTGCGGCGGGGCTGGCTCGCGGGGCGCGGAAGGCGGAGGACACGGACAGCGGGGGCAGCAGCAACAGCTTCTTGGGCATCGTCCGGCCCGAGGCGCGGTTACCGCCGGCCCGCGAGGGGCTGCAGCCGGGAGTGGTTCCGACTGAGGCGCCCGCGAGGCCAAGGGGTCCGGCTTCTCGGGGAAGGCGCCGAGAGGCTCTGCCCCGAAGAAGAGAGGTCCGGAACCCTCGCCCTCCTGGTGCCAAAAGCTACAGCGAACTGAGGCGGAACCAGAGTTCGCTGCAACCGCCGCCGTAGCCTCCACAGAGCCTGTGACGAGGTCCCCGCCCCTTCTGGGGATCCGGGAAATCCGAGAGGGCCAGCTAGAGCGTCCGCAGAGCCGCCATCTCAGATGAGGGCAAGGCGAGGGACAACTCTAAAAGCGTGTTCTTCCTGGGGAAGCATCGCGAAGTCTCTCCGCCACTCCATTTTTGTCGTCCAACAGGAGCTCTTCCGTTTCACGTTCTTGAACTGCGTAGCCTGACTTGGTAGCGGTCCCAGCCCTTTCTAAATTTTCTGCCAGGACCCAAAATGTCCGCCTCCGGGGAAGATGACGATCTAGCTCTGCGCCTCTATGGTAACACACCCCTATGCGCATGCGTTCAGCTGGGATGGCTTTGAAAGTGGAGGGTGGGGTTTTTCCCCCGCCGGTTGCCTGCAATACTGAAATCTCCCAAAGGTGGCGTACTCCTGAGCCCGAACGTTACTCCCCACATACCAACCTTATAAGTGCATGTGAGGCAACGTGACCTGCAGGGAGTCAAAGACGCTCCGGACTCTCTTCGCTTTGCTTTTAATCATGTCTTCCTTCCTTTTCTTCCACATGTTCCGTCCCTCAAAGACCCACTCACAAATCACCTGCCCCGCGAAGTTTTTCTAGATCACCTCCATCACGGTAAACACTCCCCTGCCACCCACAGCGCCCGCTGGACCACGCTATGTGCAGTTGTTTTCACCTTTGTATTTGTATTCACCTTTGTGAATACCTGCCTTCTCAACTAGGATGTAAGCCCTTTTAGGGGAGAGATCGCGCATTACTTAGTGCTTCCCGTTTCATTGCCTAGGGCGGTGTTATGCGTTCCAGAGACACACAATTGGTAACTTGTTGAATAAGGCCCAAGATGAAAGTGAAGAGAACTGAACGATCTGAGTCACTAGTTATCACCTGTCCCAGGATTGGGGAGGAAGCCTTCATTTTCCCAATTCTCCCTAAGCTTCACTTGCTCCTCTATGCCCTCTGTAAGTGAATGTAACCATGAGGTTCCCAGTCAATCAACCCCAGGGATCATCCTTTACTCTTCTTCCCTTTCCTTGCTACATTTATGCACGTACTGTTTGTACTTCCACTTATTGATGCATGCATTGATGCATTGTTTCTTATATACACGTGACCAGGGATTGAACCATCAGCCTTGGTGTATTGGGATGATTCTCTTAACCAACTGAGCTACCTGGCCAGGGCCCTGCAGGGCAGTGGTCTCCAAAGTGGTCTCACTACTTCCTCATTCCACCCACCCTCCCCTCCAACAGCTCTCGCCCACCCTTCACATCCACCCCCTAGGCCCCCTGTTTAAGAGCCTCCAGAGCTTTCCACCACCTCCAAGCCCACCTCTTAGCCCCATCTAGCCGAGGTCTCCAGCCCCATCCCCTGCTTTTCTGCCTCAGGCCACACACTCTGGGTGTGTGGCCTTTCTGAAGTCTTTGCCATTTGCCAAAAATGGCACAGCTATTTTTTGTTTTTTTGTGGGTTGAGTTTTTTTTGTAGTTGAGAATCTTTGTAATTTTCACCGTGATTTCTTCTTTGTGTGTATGTGTCTGAGTTTTTAGACGTGTGTGGCTTGATCTCTAAACTTTGGGAAATTCCTAGTGTTCTATACTTTTTTTTAGAATTTTTAAAAAGATTTTATTTATTTTTAGAAAGGGGGAAGGGAGGAAGAAAAAGAGGGAGAGAAACATCTATGTGTAGTTGCCTCTCGTGCGCCCCCTACTGGAGACCTGGCCTGCAACCCAGGCATGTGCCCTGACTGGGAATCGAACTGGTGACCCTTGGATTTGCAGGCTGGCACTAACCACTGAGCCACATCAGCCAGGACTCTTGAGTTTTATTATTAATTTCTCGTTTAATTCCAGTTGGTGAGAGAACATGCTCTGGGTGAATTTGATCCCCAGAAACTTGCCGAGACACTCTTGGCGGCCCAGCCTCAATAGAGGTTGTGGCGGTCAGCGCCCGCCGAGTACCCAGGAAGCATGTGTGTTCTGCAGGTGTGGGCGCATGGTCTGCGTACGTTGGTCAAGTCCAGTTTGTCTAGTGAAATCGCCTGTCGTCTTAATTATGTTCGATCCGATTGTCGGTGATTGTGGAGGGTTTTTTTCCCTTTTAGTTCTCTGGCACTTGCTCCGCATCCATACCGTGTTGCTTCTGGTTCTCGGGAGAGCCCTGCGCAGTACGGGGTCTCCAGCGAGGAGAGGAAGGCCTGCCCTCACCTTCTAAAGAAGGTCCTTAGTGAAGTCTGAAGGGAGACGTCACTGGACCCCATCTAGTCGGGGTTATTTTTCTTTGTGATGTTTCTCTGTAGACCAGGCTGACCCCGGAGACTCCGGACCCACCAGGCATTTCCTACAAGGACAGCTCTGCCCAGGACAAGGTGACATCTTTCCACATACAACCCAATTTCGGTTCTCAAGGTTTAAACAAAACGACCCCGTCGGTACCGGGGCTGCAGGTTGGGCATGAATGGCGGAAACGCGATCTCGCTGCTTCGCAGAAGACAAGGGGTGGCACAGACTCAGGTCTGGCCCGAGGCCCCGTCCGAGGGCGGGCAGGGCGAGACAAAGAGGCCAGTGTGCGGAGGCCGCTCGGCCCTGTCCTCGAGAGCTGCATTATCTGGAAGACAAGGTCAGTCTTTGCAACAAAGAAGAACATTTCAGTCCGTGAGTCAGGAGTTTTGCCTCCCGCTCTGCGCTACTGAAGCTCGAACTTTGGAGAGATACCAGGCCCTTCCCTGTTTTCCTTCCTGAGCAGGCCTAGGCAAGCTGAGATGGAACGTCTTTATTTCTAAAAATAATACCAACTTGGATCTCCAAGTTGATTCTCTCAATAGGACGCCAGAAACCATGCTGGGGCAAGAGCAAAATGCTGGGCAGGCAGAGCCAAGCGTGCTGGGAGTGACCCTTCCCAGCTTCGGCAAGGACGGTGACAGAGGGCAGCAGCTGTGGTGGCCGCTGGAAACTCCGAGATGGGGTCGCACTGCACAGGCCCGCGCGGGACGGAGCCTCCCCCATCGTGGGGTTTGCAGCGGCCCTCGTGGGAAGCATTTCAGGGCGTCCCAAATACTCACGGGTCGTCGAGGACTTTGGTTCAAGTAGAAGCCAAGTAGTGCCTTCTAGAGCTTCCGCAGAAGCCCTGCCTCCTTCCTACGTCACCTGGTTTCTGGCGCCACTTGCGAGATGGGCTCAGGAGAAGAGGACCGTGGGGGGAAGGGCGAGGCCGGGGCAGGCGGGGCTCGGAAGGGAGGAGGCAAACACTACAGAGACAGGTCGGAACAAATCATGGACCCAATCATTCGGAAAGTCACAAGGTTCCTGGCTCAAGTGGGGCAAGTTTGTCAAGTTCAAGGGGATCCAGGCCCTATCACAGCTAAAACCCCCCCCGAACAATTCAAGTGTCCGACAAGAGCTACGGTCCCTCTGTAGACCGAAGAACTGTGGTCACGTACCGCTTCAGGGACGTGCCGCGGCCTCGCGGGGCTCAGATCCGAGTGCAGTCTCGGGAGCCGGCTCTTAACAGCCATGCGACCTTGAGGAAACATTCTGTCTTCCTTTGTCTTGGGTTTCTCCCTCGTGCGGTGGGCGTAATAGTAACCGCTAGCCGGAAGGGTTTGGGGGGCGACGAGAGGTAGCACATGCCAAGCCGTTTGAACGGGGTCTGGCACACGAGAAGGGAAGTGTTCTTATATATCTATCAGTTGGGACAATCAGGAAAACAAACCACGGTCATTATTGTAACAACTTGATATATTTTTAACTAGTTTTTAAAAAGATTTTTAAAAAGATTTTGTTTATTTATTTTTAGAGAGGGGAGGGAGGGAGAAAGGGAGAGAGAGAAACATCAATGTGCAGTTGCTGGGGGCCGTGGCCTGCAACCCAGGCATGTGCCCTGACTGGGAATCGAACCTGTGACACTTTGGTTTGCAGCCTACGCTCAATCCACTGAGCTACGCCAGCCAGGGTACAACTTGATATATTTAAAAAAATATATTTTATGTATTTATTGTTAGAGAGAGGGGAAGGGAAGGAGAAATAGAGGAAGAGAAAACATCAATGTGTGGTTGCCTCTTGAGTGCCCCCTACCAGGGACCTGGCCCACAACCCAGGCATGTGCCCTAGACTGGGAATCGAACCGATGACCCTTTAGTTTGCAGGCCCACGCTCAACCCACTGAGCTACCACCAGCTGGGGCACAGCTGGCATTGAGAATGGTTAAATGGGTAATGCAGGACAGAGAAGACAGAAGGCAGCCACTGGAGGGCAGAGAGAGCAACTGCTGGAAGCAACTACCCCGCCCCCACGGCGGCGGCTGGGGAGAGGGAAGAGAGGCTGGGTTATGGGACCCCAGAAGCCTAAGCAGTCCCCTGGCGCCGGGGCTCAGACATCTGAGGGGGGGTGCCCTGCTGGTGCTGGCATCTCTGAGAGGCTGCTCCAGGGAGTGAAGGGACACTGGGACATGGAACCACATGTCCCCACGGCCAGGGTGACCCTCAGGAGACCAGGGGGTGGACAGGAAGCAGCTGGTCCTTTCTCCTCCTCCAGCGTGAAGGACCCTCTAGGGCCCCTCTCGGGCCGCAGGAGGGAAACATGGCTGCGGACTCCCAGCAGCAGCACAGCGGCGGGAAGTCCCTGACTCCAGACGGGCCCCCACCCCCGCCACCTCCTGACAGCGGACTGGGGCGGGGGAGGCGTGCAAGGCCAGAGGGTTAAAGAGAGGCCGGAATGAGAGTGTGGCCACAGGAGGGAGGAGACAGGGCAGGCTGGCACAGTGGACTTCAGCATTCAAAAGTGGTGTGGGGTGCAGCTGGGGCCACGAGCGTGGGGGCTGAGGTCCCACCAGGGTGCAGATCAGGGAGAGGTTGTGGCAGGGTGACGGGGGCGGGGGTTGAGGAATGCAACTCCCAGACCCCCAGGTTCTGCATGTTCTCAGAAGGCTTAGAGCCAAGAAGATCGTGAGCAGGACGGGAGATGCCCCAGGCGAGGAGTGGACAAAGCGCGGGAGGGTTGAGGGTAGCCGGC